ATCGAATTAGTGTGATTTACCAATGGCGACCGACGTCTTATAATTGTGAGCTTGCCAGCGCGCGCATGCAATAAATATATGTTATATACCTTACGTTCCACGTGTCCCTAGGGAAGCATGCATGCATGTATGCATATATGCGTTCGAACAAAAATTTAGATTTAGGACGAAAACGGAATTGAAATGGATATATTTAAAACAGTATATTAAGAAATTAGAGCATTATTCCATATAATAATATTTAAATCTTTCAGATATTCACCGTAGCCACAGCTAGCCATGCAGTAATATCGAAATACATTACCTTTGCGAACTTTACATAAATTATTGCTTACATGTTCCAATATACGTAACGAACCAAAACAAGACTTGGATATTAACTAACGCTTAATTACATCAATATGAATAAAATATACAACAAAATAATTGTGGGGATATGGAACAATAAATTAGTGTTATTTTCAGGGTATTAATTACATTGGTTTATTCGAGACTGATGTTGAAACTAATTAAAACTAAAGCGAATTCAGTCTAAAATTGCACAGCTGCATGGGGTTAAATCAATTTCTAAATCAACAGTGAAAGAGTAGATATTCCAATGGTAAAAAGATATTTTAGTCATAGAGTAATGTAGTTACAAACAGACAATCTCTGTTACAAATAAACATGAACCTCTCAGGAATTTCTCCAATATAATTAACAAACACTTTTTTAATGATATCAATAATTTACACCCAACATAACAGCCAATATACTATTATAATAATATAAACTGGAAGATGCTATTTTTGGTATACATACAGGAAGGTGGGTTACAGTAAGCACGTTACATTATGTCTACATCCAATTAAATCAATATTATAATTTGCTAAAAGCAATATTTCTACTTCCTACACATTGCATGAGTCTGATGTTAAAGATGTAATAAGGAATGATGAATGTTAAAAAATGGGGTAATGATGTTAAAAATAGTTGGATGGCAACGGTATATATAAACGATTATCTTCCCGACAGTAACACAGTACATCAAATTTGGGGTAAAATCAAAATCAATCTAATTAAATCAATTCATCCAAACCGTTGAAATTACAATCAAGATGTGGATTATTTCAAGAGCATTTTCATGGCGTCATATTATTAAGATCAATGTAAGTACACTTAATTCGACTAACGAAAGTTATAAAACTTTGTAAGTCTTCTCGCAATTTATTTTCAGAATCCCGTGCAGTGTTTATATAATTTCCTGATGGTTATTAAAAAAAGTATAAATTTACAATGACGTACACCATCACATTAAATATTTTAAATACAATACTTATTAGTATATCGGTGAGATTTGAATGGTTGAAGATCACTAAAATAATTTTTTATAGATGAACATTTTTTGTGCATAGCATTTAATAATATGCTTCTCAGTGAGATATTGTAGTTGCGAAAGGATAATTGGTTTATCCAAATTTGTAAATATATTTTGAGATACTGCATGTTCGCCTATGCCATGTTCAATGACAGTGTTGAACGCTTAAGGCTAAGCACGAAGTTACTTAGCTATAGTTGATTAATTTTGTTGCTTATACGCGAAATTTAAGAAACCATGCACATTCTCGACTGTAATCTTTCATTTGCCGCAAAAAATAAGCCAATTATATACATAGCTACATTTGAATATATTCTTAAAATTAAAGAAAAATCAACGTGATTGTCCTGACTAAAGGCTCTGTTACATGGCGCAATTTTTCCTGTAACTTGCAATGCAATTATACTTTTAAGGGATGTAAATTTGGAAACTACGAAACGCTTATGTCTATTTCTCTCTATTTACGTTTCTTGCTTACACTTACATTTTGAATACTCTGTACTAATTTACATCTCTTACAGTGTAACATCACTAACATGGCTTAAGTAACGCCGCGTGGAATAGCTGGTGTCAGATTAAAATATATTTGTAAACAAAGTCGTTAAATATTGTGTCGGTGCTACTCTGAGTTACGACCTAGCATGCTCAAAAATTAGCTTGACCACGGTGGAAATAGAACCGCCGCGACCTTTGATTTGCTAGTCCAATGCTCTTTCGGAACTGAGATACTTCAGGAACTCAATCACGTCTCCTCTACATGTGTGTGTTTTAAACTTATCTGATACGTGAGTCATATATAATGCTGTTGTTGTTGTGGTATTTGTTCGTTGTTCGTCTCATAACATAATGTGCAGTGTATCTAGATTATAGATTAAAGCATTCTGAACGGCTCTTAATGCATCTCGTGCTGTAACGACATTGAAGGAATTAATCCACATTATTTATTCATATTTTCTGTTCTCGCGCAGTTGTTGGTACTAATTGCCCTGACGTCAGCGCATCCTGGATTCAATGCCAGAGGCAATACTGGATGTGTTAAATCGTCTACTTATCGTAAAGATGTTTTTCCAAGGACGGCCGAGCTCGAATGCGAGAAGAAAGATTGTCATAAAGTAATGCACGAGCTCACATTCGCAATCATAGTGAAAAAGAAGATTGTCGTGGCTTGCACGAAAACACAACTTGAGCAAACCAGTAAACTTGCAGGAATTCTTTCTAGTGGCAAAATCTACCGTGTCTGTAAAAATGGTTTCAAAGCATACAAGACAAATGTCACAGACTTAGTGAAGCAAAGTAATTATTTGGTACCAATAAAAAAAGAGGTTCTAATTGAATGCAAATAAGCCTGAAACATCAGAAAATGCCGAGTTTTAATCTATAATAATAGTAAGGGAAAATATTTAAAGATTATTTATATTATAATATAGTGAAAACATTTTTAAGACCTATTTATATTTACTTCTTTAAAATAACGTTAAGTATTTTGTATAGTTTTAACTTAATAATAATAAATAATAATAAACCACAATTCTTTACAGCATTAGCTCAGATTTTGCTTTAGCATGTCTATCGCATGCACGAGACGTTAAAATCAAGATATATTAAATAATCCATGCAGGTAAGGAAATTTCAAACGCTTGCCTTATAAATATACAATTATAATGTCTGCGCATTTCTTGCGGCTATTTTGGAAAGTAATAGTGGCTAGTTTTTCGCTCTTATTATTGAACAGGTGTGGGCGTTTTTGGCTTGCGTGATTTTTCACTTTTCATTGTGTTCGTGTTCTTATTATAAGAAAGAACTTCCATGGCGTATAAAAATAGTGTTTGTTGGGGCCAAACCTTACAAGTGTTGTGGTCGGAAAGGCTAAAGAGGAAATGCTGATCACAAGATCACAATAAAGGAACGACAGAAACTTGCCGAACGAAATCGACGACACGTAATTGGAATTAAACAGCTTAAATAAATAAGGATATTTTATACTTACTATAACAAAAGTCCATAAAATATAGTATGAAAGTATAATATCCAAACTAAATGCTATTTTCCTGATACTATGGATGTATATGCATAGAAACAACATGAGTGAAGCATATATATTTGCCTAGTATGGATTTTTAAGAAAATTTCTAGTGAGAAATACTTTTATGAATACTGATACATGTATGTCAGTATGTATACATATCCACGCACGATCCAAGGCTGGGACGTGTGAGCGGAAATGTTTGACCTTACATACATGCATGCCTGCACATATCATTAGCTATATATAAGAAGAAAGCGTTGGACGCAAAATGTACAATGGCGATATTTAAGTACAAATGTGTTTGCCTGCATGATGAACGTTTCAAAAAAAGGGAAGATAAAGAAAAGCAACTGAAAACCAATTTACAAAAATCTTCATAGTATTATCAGTTTTTAAGTGCATGATATGTTTTTATATATGGCGTTTAGTAAAAGCAATATAGGCATATAGCAACACTTGCATGGGTTTCACTTTTAAAACTGACTTCCATACTCCAGAGATACACAGAGCTCAGTGGGGTTTTGAGGATTGTACATGCAAATCATAGAGCAATATAAATATGCATATGCAGGCAGTTGAAGTTTGTTAATTCATCGACTTTTAAAATTTCATAATGATAAAATTAAGGACATCAAAGCCTATAGCTACTGGGCGATCCTTTATTTTTGCGACTGCATGCATCATGTTTTAACAGTATTTAAATAAGTGTTTTAGGATAGAAGAATTTTAGAATTAGGATAAACTTCAAGACTTATTGCTGCCTCTAATGCACACTAAGGTATTGAATGATTGGGGGAAGTGACATCATTTTAACATTATTTATTTATTTCACACTATTTAACGATAACAAAACGCCTGCTCAGGCGTTCACTCGGGCTACAAGTTATATGACGTATAATCTAATGTTTTCAAAACGGTCGTGACACCCGCGCGAGAAACGATCCTAGGACGATTTTGATTCGTTCGAAGACTTCTAGCCGCCCGTGAAGACTTTGTCCTCACTTTTCATTGCCCGCTATTTTATTTGCATTTTGAATCAATCCGATATCGCGTAATCAAGACAAATCCGATGTCATATGTATATCGAATCAACGTAGATAATCCGGTACGAAAACTGATCCGGTATCGTGTAAGCAAGACAAATCCGATACCATATGTATATCGAATCAACGTAGATAATCCGGTAACAACACTAATCCGTTATCGTGTAAACGCTAGTTCACACTCAGGAAAAATCTCCTTTGGATCGGAACGGACAGGAAAATATCCTTTGCCGGTGAGCTCTTAGGCAGCGTTTATACAAAGGAAACTTTCCTGTCCTGTCCGATCCAAAGGAGAATTTTCCTGAGTGGAAACTAGCCTTAACTGGGGCCCTTATTGCCTCTCCTTAATTGATTGCTTTTTTCCAATAACTTTGGAAAAGTTACTTTAAACAATAACTTTATGGTTTCCGTTTTAGAATGGCCTGATCCAAACACGAGCCGAAGATTGTTTTATAACTGAAATAAACACAACAAGGATATGCTCCAAGTTGTATACAAGGCCCTGTCCTTGGGTGGCCTGATCAATAAGTACACGATTCTTAAACAGCGATTAAAAAACTGAGTTTGTACTTACAGGAGTTGCACCAAATTCTTCATGTTTTCGTAGACTGCAGATAGACAAATAATCAAAAGGTTTGTCAACTGCGGAAAAATAAAATATTTATAAAATAAGGTGAGCAAACGTCGTATACAGCAGTGACAGAAAGAATCACAGTTCATCCATATCAATTTGCATGCTTGCTGTCGACGATAAAGTCATCGCTCTAATGACATGTTTACGTTTAAGCCATAATCATCATTAAAGGTAAGGGTTAGTTTATACGTCGCATTTTGGTGGCGTAAATGCTAAATTAAACAATAAAAAGCTGGCAAAAAGCCTCGTTATCTTGTTTAAATTGCATTTGCAACTTCTATATGGCTATAGAGTAGAACTGATAAAAAATGACAATACTGCAAAATGCACTTTAAGTAACTTTAAGTTCTCTTAAAAATGCACGTTAAGAATTCAAGCAATGTCATTGGTCGAGAGCCATGATCTATTGGAGGATATATGCAAGGAATGACGTCACAGAAAATTTTAAAGAATTTGGTTATCGCTTGTTTTTTTGTCAGCTAATCACATTTTAGTACGTGTCTTAAGCTAGCCAATAGCATTTGTCAATGCTATAGATCATGTACGCGTATTTGTAAACACAATGACGTCATAACGTCAAATCACAATGACGTCATAACGTGTCACGCTATTTATTTGTCAATTAAATATATTATAGTGCTTGTATTTTGTTAGATTAGTATTGTACTTTAATTTACGCGATCTAAAAAAATGGGTTTTCCCGTTGCCTAAAAAAACTGGGTGAAAAATGACAAGAATTTCTTGGGAATATAATTAATCTTACCAGCATTCTTTCGAAGTTTCTCTATAAGTGACGTCTCGCCTCTGCACAAGGACATGTAGTTCCAATGAGTGATAACACAAATAGATGTTCCTGAAGCATCTCCAATTTCACCTGGAAAACAAAGCGAATATATTTAAAGTACAATGAATCTTCTTATCTCGCAGGAAAAACGACAATTGCGGCTAGTTATTATAGCAAAGTTATTGCAAATATCGACGCATATTTCACATCTATACTGGTTAAAACTCTATACAACCTAATCGAAAAAAAATTAAGCAAATGGCTGTTCATATATATTTTTTTAGAGGAAGCATCAAAAGTGCCGCGTCTACCCGTTCAAAATGATAAATATAATCATGTCTTTGGATATGGAACAATTTTGACGAAAGAAATTAGCATGAATACGATTTAACTCAAATGATAGCTCACGAGCAAGAAAAACAAGATCGGGTCTGTTATAGCCTTACCTTCAAACGCCGGCAAGAGAGGCATAACAATGAAAACCTTGAAGTTTTCGCCATTACTGAAAAGGAAAATCCAACACGGTCAAGCATTGCGTTTGACAGTAATGCGGATTAAGGTTCCGTAGATACTCGCTTTATAATAGCTACAACAGTGCCATTAATTGAGTACTGATAAAAATCATTATTTTCAAAACTGGTCGTCGGGTTTATCATGTTATCTAGTTTTTCATGTTGAGAACTTGTTCTTTTGTGATTTTACGTATGAAGAATAATATAATTTAAATTCAATACTTGATTCAATAACATTAGATCTATTTTGGGGTGTTTTTTGGCGTGATCTAAAGCAAATACCGAATGTTTTCATTCTTGCAATAGTACGAATATTTTCATTTTTTATTAGAAACATTCATTATTAGTAAAATATGTTACTCGAAACCTGCGCCAAATATGACATGTCCTATAGATCTTTTCGTTAATTATATGTCACAATGTTATTGTTTTAAATTTAGATCCACCTTAAATGAGATGGATTTCAAGTTTTACTCTAACAAGCTATGTGCTTGCAAAGATGCAAAACACCCTTCTTCAACACATGCGTGAAAAAAACACGAGAACGAGGCTCCCGGTCGTCGCATCTGGGCCTCGTTCTCGTGATGGCATATTTCCACATTTATTGGTCAAAATAAAATATTATTTTTCATGCATGTGTTGAAGCACAATGTGGTTGAAGAGATTACAAGATGTTTACTTGTGTGCACGTGTAATTCGCTCCACCAATGCGTCTCCGACGATATTCTTAACATCAGGAGGAAGTGACGTGATAAAAAATTGATTCTAAAGAAATACAGGAAATAACTGCATGGGTGGAACGCGTTTCAGACTAAATGATTACAACATGCACTTATTACAACTAAAGGCTTACAGTACTAAAGGCTTACTTTACCTCGATGTAAATGTAATGTTTGGATGTTTTTATCAAATGAATGTAAGCATTGTATATTGACGACTCGCTTGGACAGCCCGCTGACCATTCTCCCACAGAACGAAGTACCTACAGCAAAAAACCTAATGATTAGTGGCGATTAATAAATAGCACGAGTTTTAAGATCTGTGGAACGTTATAGTTATTTGCCTTGCGTTCACCAAAAATGTAACTATTTTTTACACGACAAAAGGAGTTTAGAATGACAAATGATAAATCTGGTATACAAATCACGTACAAACCTGACAATTGATATTGCTAGTTTTAAGTCCATCTGGAGCGGTGTCAACAAGACCGGTATAGGTTTTTGGGAGGAGTAGAGGGAAGAATGAATCTGCTTTCTTTTTCTCTAACTATAGAATTAAAACACAACACATATTTAAAATTGTATACCTAGCTTTGATGGAAAGAACAGAGAAGTAAAAAATCTAACTGTATCTCAGAAATTGAAACATAAAAATTGATGTTGAAGAATAACAATGCATAAGCTAGGTGCTATATACATGCACATGTTTAACACGCTACGTGAATAAATGTGTTATTGTCAATACCTTGGTAAAGTTCCACCTTTGAATAAAATGTCTGGCAACATCTCTTGCTACTTGGCCCCAGATACAGACAGCAACATCATGCCAAGGCATTCTGTTTGTACTACTTCTATCAATGATATCTACGAATCAAAGGTTCAAATCAGAGATAAACAAGAGGCAGAGAAAAACATTGTAAACTGACAGTGTATTGGTAATCCCTAAGTAATCCACAGCACGTTGAGCAAACCAGTCATTGCCCTTTTCGTGTTTGTGCCAAAATAGGGATCAAATTATATAAGTATTCATATAGGCATATACGTAAAAGCTGGGTCCCCAGAACTGCAGAAAAGATGTGAACGAGTAATATGTTACAATGCTCTGCATGATGTGTACGATGACGGTTTATGTTATATGAAAATGATCAAATTAGCAGAATAATGACGTGATAATCTCACGTGATCGAAAATGCTAAAATCTTCGATCCTCACACCATAGACAATCTAGAAGACTGTCTTCCGGATTGTCTATGCTCACACGCAGTGGAAGAATAATCTTATAGCTACCTTGCTCAGGTTTATGTAAATCGACAAAATCTTTTATAATCGGATTGGAATAATCCTTCCCCCTCCACAGCCGTGCTCGTCCCAGCAATTTCCTTGACCGAGAAATTTTAGCTTCCTTCGTCTTTGTCCTTTCCTCTGTTATTTCGCTAAAGTTTGGTATTGCATTCGCTGTGGCAGTCATGAAAATGTTTCCGATATTTGCTATTACCTTTTCCTACAATATAAAGAATTTTAGTCTAGAAGGGTAATGAGTAGTTATAACCACATCTTGGGTTCCATTGCATGCATTAAATGTAGCTAAAGTTAATTCACGTATAGTTAGCGCAAATTTCAACCAATAACAGTCGAAGAATTTGTAGTTAACTATCTAACAGCGAAACGTAGTTGAGGGTATTTGTTTGCAGTCCAAAGCATGCCGCCTCGAAGAAGGAAAAAGCTGTTTGGATACAAGCTTACATTACCCGAAAAAACTAGCAGAATTCGCGCTAGGTACGTAACACACTCAGTGTCACCCACTAGGTGGTTGATAGAAAACTAGAACTCATAGGCCTACATACTTCAGTTGCATGGGAGTATAGTATAGTGGCCTTTTCACAATAGCTTTTTCGATATTTTAAAAAAGGGCTCTTTGAAATAGAAAAGCTGGATTATAGGTCAATTCAAGTAATTTTACATTTGTGGGTGAAATAAAACCATGCACGGGTTAAAACATACCGTTTTTGAATATGTGCTGGGCACAAATTCTGAATCACAGTCTGTAAGAAAATGCCTACAGTTGTCCCAACGACCATAACACAAATCCAACCCTAAAATATTAGGACAGACGCAAAGCTAGCTCATGTATTTGCGTTTCTCAATCTTGTCAGATGAAAATTCACGTATATAGCATCTATACCTCCAAGAAAAGCAACTTTTTGATCAATGCAAACTATTTTTTCGTGGTGAGCCCAATAAAATATTCCAGTTTTTCCGGGGGTGTGGTCAGGGTGTCGTAATACCTATAAAGAATAAAGGATAAAATATACACCTTTATATATAACAACCACAATAATATTATTTAACATGGAAACAGCGCAAGTTTCTTTTATACGTGCATTGGATCCTTGTCACAGGGCCACGCTGCGTTGTTGCACTCCTTACGTTTGAATATGTGGCTATCGGTTTTGTGAAATATATACTTGTTTTCAATACCTTTATATTAGTGGGATGAAGCTTCAAAAGAGCAGTTTTACTGTAGATACTTTTTATTGTTAAAGCCATCTCCATTTCTTTATATATTAGAACATATATCATAACCCCAGCTTCCTGGAGGAAAAAGAGATTATTATTTTGTACAGTATAGGTCAGAATAAAGCAAAGTGAACGTATACAGTAAACGTCAGACTAAATATAATCAAAACCTACCGCTTTGCGTTGTAATATCCTATCCAGTCTCCAATGATCATTTTCTGTCGACGGACGAACCATGTGCAGTTCTGGACTAAACCTTAAAGAAATATATGAAAGATTAATTCGAAAACTTAATTAGTTATTGCAGATAGGAATAATTTGGCTCTGATGTACAAACAATTACAGGAGATCCAAAAAGTAATTCTCTGTTAAAATACTAGCCCAAAAGCAGACATGAACCTATAAATAAACTTCTGTCTCTTGGTAACCGCCTGTTTCACATTCAGGAGATAAATTTACACGATCCTCGAGATGCCATGCATGAGAGCATGATTCTAAACATTTTTTATGAAAAAGAAAGAGCGGGATTATTACATATACAGCTCCCTCCCCAAACACCCCATCCCCCCCCCCCGCAAAGAGAACATTCTTGGCCCTTTCCCTAAGAACTTACGAATATCTGTCTTAAATGAAGCATGCAAATTCCTATAACATATCACAGGTGTGATAAGGCATGAGGGGCATAACACTCAACTTTACACCTCAAAAAATAAAAATTCAATCTACCACCAGTCTGTGATGAATATTTCTTCTTTAGCTTCTTCAAGAGCTTGTGAGACTGAGTAAAAATATTCTTCACCATCAACAAACCTAACATCCCCAAAACGATTAAAATTTACGATAAGACAACTCTACAACAGCGTTCTGCAAAACAGTGTTCCCGGTATGTTTCTTGGGTTAGGCAAAATAAGACGAATTAGTGAATATGCACCCTCCCCAAATTAAGCTTCTAGCTACTAGGGCCCTGGGAACAAGGTATAAATAGTCATACCACTGAGCCGGAATCTTTTGTCTTTGTGGAGCATAAGAATCGAAAGCATTATTCTTGGTCCAAATTGAACCAGTATCGGCCATAGTACGAACCATCTCTGCCATCCATTCGCTAAAAATAAAGCCCCGCAATATTGTAAACATCGCTATAAGAAGGGCGGAGGGGAATGGACGTTAAAAATTTTCGAAATTAATTTGATGCGACGCCCGCCCCTTTAGAGTTTCCACGACCTAGCCAGTTTGCGGAAAAACCTTTCTCCTCTTTTTCATTCATGCCCGCTGCACGTTTGATTCGTTTGTCAATGCGTTTATATCACATTTAAAAAAATAAACAATACCAACTTAACACCTTTGTTTTCGATGAGTCCAACAAAATACAGTTAACTCCCTAAAGAAATAAAGGAAGTTTAGTTTATGATAACTTTTTGTTGCGAACGAAAGAAACAGAATAAAATTACAACAGCGGTTATTTACCTCTCACGATTCCTAATTAGCAAACCACGAGATAAATGCGGGGGAATTTCAACTGAAAATTTTTCATCTAAAAGCAACACGCCTCGGACCTCTTGATTTCCTGGACTAGAATAAATAAGCTCAGGAATTCAGTATTCAGAAACGTAAGTTAATAAAGTCATAAATTCTGGACCCTTAGGCATTTGTTCGGGGTGTTAGAGGTATTACACACTCACACCCCATTTGTTACTCAGTTGATGCAAGTTCTTCCTAAAATACGAACCACTAAGGCGTTTGTTTGGGGTGCCTCAGGATTTTTTTTCAAAATCCATACTATATATTTGCAAACTCCGAAATTGAACCGCTGACAATACCTTTAGGTTTGGTTTTTTGATTATTTGAGGGTCTGGTTTATTTTCTTAGTCACTTTAAAAAAGCGCGAGCGTTTGGCGGAGGCCTGGTAACGAAGTGCTCTAGCATATCTGAGATAGCCCTGACCTTGGTGAAGTGTGTTGCAGGAAGACGACATAGTAGAAATTAGAATATTTTGTGGGTGATTCCCTGTAATTTAGGGCGAGACATTACTAGTATAATTATGCCATTGAGGAAAAAATGTTGTCAGAGGAATGAATGAAATCTAATTATTAAAACTATCAACATGAATAAAGCAGGAAAGCGCTGTTTTCAATACGGTCGTCAGGATAGTTATATTAGTATGAAGTACTTACTCTAAGTAAGCAATAAATGAATCCTTCATCACGAACCACCTGAAATGTAAAAACAAATTATTTATTACAAATTTATCAACAATCACTCACAAAAAACAGATATATCAGATACTGATAAAACATTGACTGAAAATAAATCAATAGTCGGTCGAGTTTATTTTTTTATACAATGTTGATTTCGCTGATTTCGTCGTATATGCATGGTTAATAGCCCATGCTTATACGACCGAGCTCGTGATATATACGACTTGACTTGCCAGAAATACTGGAAAACAAATAACATGATATGGGATAAAAATATTTATGTAGTTGGTCTTCAAATATTAAAATATTGAAAACTATAAATCAATTTTTTTTAGATTTGCCAGTTTCAGTGCGGAGTTATACTTTCGTCCGTTTTATAATTCGTCTGTTTTTGTTTGTTTGCCGGCCTGCATATATGTAAGCAAAATTTCTATAAACGAGACTCATGAGAGTCTTTTGGAAGTTTAAACATGCCCATGCATACAGGAAAAAGTAAATTTTGAAAATTTTGATTCATTTTAAATCGAATTGGGCCAATTGGGATGAGAAACTGCGCGCATCCTAGGCCCCAGGTACATCGCAGAGATCCGTTTATATATGAGGTATAGAACGTTGAATGCGAGCTCATCCCATGCATCAGGTAACACAAAGCCAACACAGGCAGTTTGCATGGGAGTAAACTACAAACTTAAAAAAGGAGGAGTATTAATAAAGGAGGAGTATTAATAATCTGTCACGTCCGCACCTAACTATTCACACGTGTACTGTAAGTATAGTCACGACCAATAAATAATAAGAATTGGTAATATATGAAAAAATTACACCTCTCGCTCTCTGTTCTCTAGGTCTTGATACATATACAGTATATTGAGACTTTGAAATTTCTTTGTGTTAGGGAGGACATAAAAGCACATACAGGGTGTATAAAAAAAAAAAGACATTTAGAAATTAAACTATTGTTATAATTTAAATGCCCCGTCACTACGCTAAGCCCTTGGATGCGCCATGCATTAGATTTATTCGATTGACCATGTTTGTGCACCAGTGGGCTTGATCAGGCATTTAAATTGTAACAATAGTTTGATTTCTAAAGATAAACCCTGTAGATATGAATACCACGCTTTGGGAGGGCTCCAAATAAATCTTTGAAAAATTTTAATCTCCTCAATTTAATCTTTTTAGTTTTTGATTTATTGATAGGTTTTATGCACTTAGCATTCAAATCAGTAATTGACTTGTGGGGACAGCCTCAAATGTTTGCTTTTGTTTCGTTCTTCTCGACTCCACGAGAATGAATCAATTAGGCAATGGTACATATTTTTCTAAAAATCAGCATGCTGAAGCGAATATATAGACATTATAACAATATAACAGCCAAAATACACAATATAACAGACAATAACTAACTCAGTGCGATTAGTTGTGTCATGATTTAGAGGCGACTAACCCCTACTCGAAGCAATGACGTCAGTTATACTCATTATTCCTGTTAGCCTCGCCCCATTAAGCTTCGCATGTCGTGTTGCGAAAACGATTTTACAAATTTCTAAATCTGAGTGGTTGCGTTTACGCGATAATCATGGCCAGGCAATGTTTTTTAACGACGGCAAGTGCATGGTTATATCATAGTTTCCCGAAGAAATAAGTGAACAGTCCTAAGGGAAATATTTCACCATGACCTCTTAATCTGATCAAATCCTTTATCGTAAAACCCGAGAACAATATTTTAATCATTTAACAAATACCAACAGGCACATATGAAATTACGTAAACCAAAATATACATAACGTATATTGTCATCACCATAACTATAAGACACTAAAAATGTTTACCAAATATACACTTCATACAGGGTGTAAAAAAGTGAACAATTATTAAATTGTTTATATACATCAAGCTAAATTTTAGGAATGTTTTGGTAAATATGGGTTATTTTTAAATTGCGTCAAAAGGTTAGAGTTAGGTCATTACTCATTATTCTGTTCTTCCGCAAGAGTCAGACTGTGAAACGGATAAGATCCAGGCAGTGCGTTTATTATGCGGTTATCATATATGGGAGTGGTTGACATTGATTCATCTCTTTCATTAACCCTAGTTTCATATGTGGAAGTTGTTGACATTAATCCATCTCTATCATTAACCGCAGTTTCATTTCGTGTTTCCTGTGACACCAGTTCGATAAAGTCATTATTGCATGGTGGCACGGGGAAGAGGAAAATAAACTTGCTCTCGCGCTTCTGTTTGGGTCACATTACTCACATAGATGTTCTGGACGGCTCTTTCATGGTTACTATTGAAAGGATCCGGAGTGTTTTCCGCAGCATTTTGATCAGATTGTGCGTTCATCTTTTTACGAGAACAATAAAACACCAATCCCAAAACAGCTAAGGGTAAAGTAAGTCCAACAAGCGACGCAATCAACCACTTTGGGAACTCCCAAGAACACTCGGTGCACCTACCATCCTCAGTACAGCATTGATTTTGGCCAATGCAATGACTATCAGAACTACATTGTATTTGACCTTGATTGCAGCTTCGAGTACAGCGCTTCAGACCTGATTCGTTGTTAATACAGCAATAATGTTGTTTGCCATCGTACGTAACACAATCCGAGGAAGAGTGGCAAGGTTTGGTGCTAGAACATAGACCACCTTCACACCATGTGTCTGATCGCAAACAATGAGCAGCAACAGTACAGGACTGTTTTTCACATTCTTCCACGGCACATCTACTGTCCCCAAACGATTCTTCTTCGCAACAAAATGTACCGTTAAGGCAATCAAAGCTGGATTTACACAAATGCCCGCATTTCACACACTTGCCATGACGACAGCATACGTCTGGTTCATCACAGTCGTTGTCATGGATACACATATATCCGATGCAACTTCGACTACACTGGGTAATTCTATACAAGTCAATCTTGCAACAATGTAACCCGGCATTGCAATTGTCATTGCTTTCACACTCCGTCCTCTTGATACAAAAACTGTCAGAACAGCGCTCTAAACTGGCGCAGTCTTTATCATTGTAACAATTTTCCCCAATACAGTTCAATTTACATGTTCCGTAGCCGCTATGCAAATTGTTACAACAATATTTCCCAGAATTGCATTCTGTGTGAGATTTACAACCAGCATATAAACAACTAACACATTTTCCGGAACGGCAACAATCGTTACCACATTCAGAATTGAACTGGCAACTTAGCCCAACACACGAAGACAAGCATTGAGTCTGCTCGTACCAACTAGCAGAAAGACCTCTGATACAACAAACCTGCGATTGTCCACAGTCCGAGTCCACCGTACAAAGTGGACATAAATGACATCTATTTGACCGACAACACAACCGCTGTTCATTCTTTAGTCCTTTGCAGTCCCTATTGTTCGTACAATAATAGCCCATACACGATCTTGTAAGGTTAGCTGTCTTTAGTGTCTTATAGTTGTTTAGACAATAAAATGAATGGGGAAACGATAGAGTTCGACAACAAACCTTTTTCATACGACAATCCGCATGAGAACTACAAGTATCATGAGAAAGCGTTGACAATAATCCAGTAACAACTAGAAATAAACAAGCGAAAAACTTCGACATCTTCGAGAACAAACTCTCATGGCAGTGATTGGTATTTGTTATACGTGATCTGTAGGGGATGTCAAATTATATAAGTGATAGTTGGCGGAATGGTGTTAAATGACACACCTCGTGTGAACCACACAAAAGGAGTGATATCCGAGAGGGTGATATCCGTGATATCGTGTTTGATTATACCGCTGTGTATATTTCATCTTGCTGGATCGTATTTTGCTTCAGATTGTTTGTATTTATTCTGCTTACGTCAGTGTCCGCTAGACTCTTCCTCAGAAACTAAATTTCAAAGAACAAAATCCGGAAAGAATAATTAATTGATACACAGTGCCATGTTGTGTTTAGCTGTTGAGAATATACAATGGTATAATATTGTATTCATATCGCAAATTTTCATATCTAACGGCTATATCTGGGAAGTATATAATAAAGATGATGCTATTAAAACACTTTAGCGATAGAACACCGTAAATAAATGAGGAAAGAGTCTTTAATGTCAAAGCGAGGTACATATAGGTTTGCCCACACGCTCCGTTTTCTCGCCAAGTTTATTTCAATAATCCGCTCACAACATGCTTTCCTAATTATTGGAAAAGGTGTTTATGTTTCTCCGCCCACATCTCGCGAAAACAAAAACTGGAAATCCGATGTCGAAGGCAGTTTTGTGGCGAACGTCCAGAACTCCAGAAGTCAATATATAGTTACATATATATGGAAAAGCTATATATGTGTTAATGAAATGTGAACTGAGTTATACAGAAAGAAGTATTTTAGCCCCGAATGGACCTCGGCTAGATCATCAAAAGTCAGTTGAACGATTTAAGCAATTAAGTCCCCACTTTTAAAGAACCGGAAAGGATAAGTACAGAAAACAGCTGCTAAATGTGTTTTAAAAAGGGAAACTGCGTAGTTGTCGACAACTAATAGTTATCGACGGCCTCATTTTTTGGGGTTTTTCTAGTGTGTGAAAACTTTTGTTTTAGTTGTCGACTACATTTAATCTCCGCACTATTTCGGTTGCTAAATCAGTATTTGAGCGCCAGTGTGTGGAATCCTTTATCTAGTTTTTTAGTTGTCTAGACTTATTTAGTTGTCGATAACTTTTAGTTGTCGATCACAAATAGTTGTCGTCAACTAAATCCCTAGTCTGTGGAGGCCTTTACACCAGTTATCAGCATGATACACTAGTTAGATATTCTTGTATTGTTTCATAAAGACTTATTTCAATACCTCAAAAATTATCTCACGTTTTGTTAAATTCTCGGGTAACCAGGCTCATGATGTAAACAGACCCTTTATCATTTTAAGACGAATGACAAATGTGGACTTCTTATCTACTAAATGCATTTGGAAACAATAGATAATCAGCTTACGTGCCTAAAGCCAAAGAAGACACTGAGAATTTGATACAATACAAATAGACAGTATATTTTTACATAACGCATGAGATGTCTGACGTTGAATATGGCCTTGTCTCCTGTATATCTAATGCCTGGTGTTCGGAAGTGATTCATATAATTCTGTGTTTGAAAAAAACCCGAGTGGCAAAATGAGCACATAAAACAATTTAGTAGCAATATAGGACTTATTTAATCGTATTAACTAGGCTACTTAACTATAAGGACGCCTCCAAGGCGCTTATGCGCAAGGTAAGTAGAACTCACACATTTATGCATAATTGAAATAAAACATGAACTGTTGTCGGATTGAAAAGTACTCATGTTTTTACCTTTGCGTGAATTAACTCCATACTGATCAGAATGGTCGAGGAAAGAGAACACTTCCTATTCCTGACGTTAATAGTTTTATCATAATTAAATCGTGCTAACGTATTCCATTCTACCATGATAGGCCTGATAGCGTATTCCATTCCACCACGATAGGGTATTCCATTCTACCATGATAACGTATTCCATTCCACCATGATAGGGTATTCCATTCTATCATGATAGCGTATTCCATTCTATCATGATAGCGTATTCCATTCTACCACGATAGCGTATTCCATTCCACCATGATAGCGTATTCCATTCTATCATGATAGCGTATTCCATTCTACCACGATAGCATATTCCATTCCACAATGATAGCGTATTCCATTCTATCATGATAGCGTATTCCCTTCCACCATGATAGCGTATTCCATTCTATCATGATAGCGTATTCCATTCCACAATGATAGCGTATTCCATTCTATCATGATAGCGTATTCCATTCCACCATGATAGCGTATTCCATTCTATCATGATAGCGTATTCCATTCTATCATGATAGCGTATTCCATTCTATCATGATAGCGTATTCCATTCCACAATGATAACGTATTCCATTCTATCATGATAGCGTATTCCATTCTATCATGATAGCGTATTCCATTCCACAATGATAGCGTATTCTATTCTATCATGATAGCGTATTCCATTCCACAATGATAACGTATTCCATTCTATCATGATAGCGTATTCCCTTCCACCACGATAGCGTATTCCCTTCCACCATGATAGCGTATTCCATTCTACCATGATAGCGTATTCCATTCCACAATGATAGCGTATTCCATTCTACCATGATAGCGTATTCCATTCCACAATGATAGCGTATTCCATTCTACCATGATAGCGTATTCCATTCCACAATGATAGCGTATTCCATTCTACCATGATAACGTATTCCCTTCCACCATGATAGCGTATTCCATTCTACCATGATAGCGTATTCCATTCCACAATGATAACGTATTCCATTCTATCATGATAGCGTATTCCCTTCCACCATGATAGCGTATTCCATTCTATCATGATAGCGTATTCCATTCTACCACGATAGCGTATTCCATTCCACAATGATAGCGTATTCTATTCCACCCTGGTAGCGTGTTCCATTGTACGATGGAAGAATATTCTATTTTGCCATGGTAGGGTATTCCATTTTACCAAGGTAAGGTATTCTATTTTACCATGGTAGGGTATTGTATTTTACCATGGTAGGGTGTTCTACTTTACCATGGTAGGGTATACTATTTTACCATGGTAGGGTATTCCATTTTGCCATGGTAGGGTATTCTATTTTACCAAGGTAAGGTATTCTATTTTACCATGGTAGGGCATTGTATTTTACCATGGTAGGGCATTGTATTTTACCATGGTAGGGTATTCTATTTTACCATGGTAGGGTATTGTATTTTACCATGGTAGGGTATTCTATTTTACCATGGTAGGATATTCTATTTTACCATGGTAGGGTATTCTATTTTACCATGGTAGGGTATTCTACTTTACCATGGTAGGGTATTCTATTTTACCTTGGTAGGGTATTCTATTTTATCATGGTAGGGTATTGTATTTTACCATGGTAGGGTATTGTATTTTACCATGGTAGGGTATTCTACTTTACCATGGTAGGGTAGGGTATTCTATTTTATCATGGTAGGGTATTCTATTTTATCATGGTAGGGTATTGTATTTTACCATGGTAGGGTATTCTATTTTGCCATGGTATGGTATTCCATTTTACCATGGTAGAGTATTGTATTTTACCATGGTAGAGTATTCCATTCTACCATGATAGGGTATTCCATTCTACCATAGTGGCGTATTGAATTTTGAGTTCCAGACTAAGGCTTATCTAAGGTTATACTTAAGTAATCTTACCTTTTTCTCCAGACGTAACAACAACATTGTGGGAAACAGCAACAACACCTGGCCAAATGGGGAGACACATGACCTCCAGAACGCTTGAGCAGTACACCTTCCCTACACCAAGAAAACAAAATCAATTAAATTCCTACATTCACAACTTGAGTCATTGCGAAGTGCGTCTTGTAAAACCAAATCGATGGGTGGTTTTCATTTGGTCTTAATTGCCGTGAAGTCATTTTCAACTATGTGAAATAATCCAAATGGAAATTTGTCTTTATTCTCTGCGTTTAAATTGTCATTGTTGACGGCAAACACATTAAAATATTCTAACACATCAACTATCTTAACATGTTCATGACCATTACGATTAAATGAAAAACGCCATCGCTTAGCTGCCTATTGAACTCACCTGCGTTTTACTCCAAGATCTCTGATAAACGACACTCGACTGATCTCAAAGAATTCTTGAAGTCTTCGACTTTTATGATAACCTTTCTTGTCTAATATATCCTGAATGTATGTCTCCACAGCCCTTCTTTCTTCTCTGTTGTGTAGCAGAATGGCTGGCGCGAATGAAAGTCGTCCGGGATCGTCCGAATGAAGCACCCCAGCTTTTTTGGCGCGGTGGAAAAAAGGTCTGCGTCTAACTTTTGAAAGTGATGATAGCGCTTCTTGATTCGCCATGAAAATTCACCATGATGAAGTTCTATTACGTAACTTGAAAAAATAAAAAAAAATAGGGTAAATCATAACATGCTTTCTATAAAGATGACCGCCACATAACTGTTTTCTTCTCCGAACTATATTAAGCATATTTTCGAGGTTATTACGAAGCATATTTTCAAGGTTTCATGCATTTTACCGAAGCTACTGAAAACCAGTTTGTTGCTTAATATGGTCGAGAAAGAAACCAGGTTTTGTCCGAAATCTTCTTTAAAAACATCTATTAAAAAATGCCAATATTTAAAATTCGGTTTGGACGGAGAATATAGATAAAGATATACATTAAAATGTAAATAAGGAAAAAATTGGTTGAAGACCACCGATACAATTTTCCATTAAATGTAATATCCTGTCGGGTTTGCGCATCAGTTCAGTTCTGCATGGTAAGAACAATGTGGGCCCAGCATTTGAAAATTGCCTAAATCTTGCATTTTTCTGGACACAGACTCAAGGCTATACTCATTTAAAATCATAGCGAATCAATGTTTGACATTGCACAAACAGTTCGTCGTATTTCAAAAATACAACAGTTATAAAAGCGTTTGTTCACATTACGACTGGACATCATGAATAATTGTTTCCATGTTACATGCACACACCGAGCGCAATTCGTCATCCGGCAACGCGAGGCAACTTTTAAAGCTTAGCCGTCAATAATGAGATGATTCTTCCTCAGATACGAAGAGCTAGAATACCTCGATATGGTACCGTACCTCTAAATAATAAAACAGGTAAATCGAGTTTGGGTTCAACCAAAATAGTTCGTGTCTCGTTGGCTCCCGTCTGGGCAGTGTGTTTTGGCGAGGTTCTAGCTTATTTAGACCTTATAAACAACTATATTGTTGTCATAAATATTATCTAATAATGTCATAATGGCATAATATAATCATAATAATCTCACGTGCTATAATACACGTGCAGCAAGTTGAAGGCCTTAATTCGCTGACATTCAAAACAAACCACGGATATTTGTCGGCATTAATGAATATTAATCGATAAAATACGTTTTCCACAGCAAATGCTGCCTAGTACCTTGTAGTTGTAATACGTAACCTCGTACAGTACAGTCTACAGCCTTTTTACCCTACAGCAGATTTTGTCTTACGTAGCTCTACCAAATCAAATAAATATACCCAAAACTAAACCCATACAATCATGCAATAATGTACCTATAAAATGAAAATATTAAAATATACTCACAGGTTTGGATTAAACGGGTGATTAAAGACGGAAGATCTTTCGACTTCCACAACATGAGCAACCATGTTTGTATTCGGTACAAATGTTTGTTTACTATCACGGACATGATAAATTGTAAGATAAGGAATGGAATTGCTTCTTTCGCTGTGATTTTCTTCGTCTAAAGAAATGAAAAAATCTTCCATGAAATGACCATGTCTATGGACCTTTTTTTAAATGGGTGTAAGGGGGGTCTAACTTGTAGCCGAATGATAGCCTCAAACCAATTTTTCCAAGAAAAGCTCTTTTAATAAGCTGCGAGCTATGGTAATTAATTTAGATAAACATATTCAGAAGTGGTTGAAAAACAAACTAAAAGACCAATTGAATAGCACATGACAGTAGCTCTACCTAGATTGCTGTAACACAACAAACATACTCAAGACTCACGTAAAATTGATATAGATGGAGACGAAATTAGATCCTGTGTTCGAAACAACCCATCATGATCAGCTGTTTCTGAAGACGTATTGGTTGTGTTGATCGGTTCAAATTGAACTTTCTTGGTTGAAGCTTCTTCGTCAAGAAAGTTTACGCTGCCTGACAGGCTTACAGTTAATGGATCTTCATCTGCCATCTTTACAGCCAGATGAACACGCCTAAAATCCTAAATTGCCACAGGTCAAGTCGACTAGAGTTTATTGTGCCCATGGAAATATACATCAATCCTAAAAATATTTTGAAAAAGTTATAAACAATTAAAATTTAACAACCATATAAAATGCACAACATCCAACTAGCAAGCTCTTCTAGTTTAATCATTGCCAGCCTATGCACAACATATAACGTGATGATTGGGTGGGGGTGGAACGTACGTCTCTTAAAAAGCACTCATTATTACTGGTGTTGTTAAAAAAAAAACGATTTCAAAATTTTCAGCAAGAAAGATGAAACTCTAGTTATATATTATACGGCTAAAACAAATAAAAGTAAGAGATAGTAAAGATATATAGATAGACATACCGCATACGATAACTAATATCTTTTTACACTTCTTTATCAGCCCTAAGGCTAAGCTGTTGCATGCTGCAGTCATAAAAAATCGGGTCAACATCGAAATAGACTGAAAAAAACTGGTCGTGTGGTCCGAAAGATTCGCCGACAAGAAGAAGTTTCACGGGTCAAGAACTTTTTACGATGCAAACGTCACTGTCAGGCAGTTGTATTGTCACGCGTAAAATAGGATGCAACACTGCTGATACATTCACGTGTTGATGTTCGTTCATATGGGGCAGGGGTTGTCGGAAAGGTGGATGAATAAAATATCCATTGGATAGTGATTTTTAACCGTAATAAGGATCGATACTGCAAGAAGAAGTCCGATGCCAGTTTGGAGTCAATCGCTCTAGATTCTAGAATACGGGTACACTGATACAAAACCGGTTCTTTTAGAAAATACGAAATAAATAAATATTTTGAGGAATGAATAAAACAAATATTCTGGGGAGTAATTTTATTCAAGTGACAGATGCAGTCAGCATTCGACTCCAATGGCGCATGGGGTCAGTAACATTATGATCCCTTGAGCTGGCCAGGTTTGAAAAATAACTTAAAGATACCGGTAACTTAATCCATCTTTCGAAGGACTGCCTCCTGGTGCAGCAATGTTGAACCCATACGAACAGTTAGTTACTGGAACCCTAATTACCCCAACTGGGATATGACACCAAACACAGCCTCAAATGATTACCACACTTTTGTGGCTATGGTTATAGAATGAAATTGAAATTTTCTGAAATATATACCTATGATTGAACTGAGAAATGCAACCTTATGCCTCTGGCAAGATCTAACCTATGCTTAAGTATTAGAATTCCAAACTCACTTAAGATGACTGTTCCACTTACCTCAGTGCCTGGAAAAAAGTGGATTTTTGTAGCTGTACTTATAGAAGCTGTTTTCATGGTTTTTGTTTAATATTAAGTGGAATAAAAATAGCAATGGAAAAAAGTTTACACATGGAACCTTGATCCCTAATGACAGTGAGGTGTGGTTAACCTGGGGCCAGATTAATTAACCTTTGACTGCACATGCAAGGCCAATGGCATTTTTTTCAGGATGGAGCCATTTAATTCACCCCCTTGCAGGTGATGAATTCCATGTGATGAGCAGCTATTCAAAGAATTAATATTTACTACTCCATGATGTGAACAATTGCTATTAAATTACATATGCAAAGGTTATTGAGTCATCAGTGCACTGGGTCCCTAAAGCTTGAGGTTTGACAGCTAGCAGATGCCCCTTTAGCCTTATATGGTCAATCTAGCTCTGGTTTTGCAGCAAAATGTGTAACTGACCTAGCTCATAATTTTGTAGAATCTTAATGTTCTTGATATAATGATAGCTCAACATTCCCTAATTTGAACTCATCACAATTAAAACCATATTGGCCATGGGGCAACTATATCTGTCATAAAAACCAAAAGCATTTGTTGTATAATCTACACAATCACAAAGGAACCTAATGATCCAGTCACAACATTTTTATTAGGAATACTGAGAACTCTTTTAAAGAATTCGATGGCATTCAAGCACTTTGTATAAATTATATATATACTATAGGCTATATGTCTAGTTGTCTACAAAGTCGTGAATTATTTATTTCTAAACTCGAGAGCATTCAAATTTGTATTGGACCTTTAATGACAGAATTGAATTGAACTGACAGAAATACAAAAATAATTTTAGCTTTCTCGAAGATACTTACATATTTTAGTAAAAGTCTCCAAAGAGTCAAGAGTATTCAATATAAAATTAATAGCATATTTGCAATAAACAACAAGAATCCAGGCTTTTATTTTCATTCACTCCTTGCCATGCAAATGCTCTCATCAAATTATTAGCACCAAACCTTATATTCGTGGGTGCCACTTCGGTATTTTAAATATCAATTTCATTTATGATTTACCTGTATTTATTTTTGTAGGAAGCCCTTGTGTGTTCTATTTTTAGAACGTGGGGTCCACGCACAATCCACGCGATGTAATTGCGCGGGAGGAAATTATCGCATTCCAATGGCGTCCTTTGATTGGCGTCAAAAATGATCGATATATGTTAAGTTCAAAACACTTTTCCACCAAAAGACTCGTGATCAGAATGATAGTCCATTTTATTTGTTTTCTCTCATCACAGTGCTCTCATTTATATGAGAAATTGTATATAAAACAACGAGAAATGTAACGGTTGTGAGTTGTATCAAAGCATTTTTCCTTGGAATTAGGAATTGAAATGTTTCAACAGTGAGCTCCACATATATCTGGAGTAAGAACTTTGGGTGCAAAAAGTGAAGCCAAAGATGGCGGAAATTGAAGCGCTATAGTACGTCAGTTTCAGTCCCCTAACTCGCGCGGCCAAATATTTCTCATTGTTTTTGACCGGGAGTGACGGTTCCCGAAACCCTCAGATTTTCGTGTTTTTCATCATTTTGAGAGTACAAGAATGGAAAAAATTGATTCATTTTACTGAGAATCTATTTCTCTGCATCTACCCGATGTAGGTGCCGCATTTTCCGACTGTACGAGTGAGTAAATATGCATTTTTCGCCGTAAATTCAACTACGCATTTCAGATTTGTTTAATTTTGAGTTATTTTCATATATTTTCACCTTATGTTTTGAGTTTCTTGTTTCCTTTTTGGTTTCGAAACGCTTTAAAACTAGTTGTCCTTTATTTTTTGGCCAGCTTTCCTAGCATAGTGCTTTTTTAAAGTTTTTTTATACTTGCATTTTGAGTCTTGTTTATAAATTTCATAATCATATATTAGTCATATTTCAAACTCGTACGTTTTTCAGCATAATTTTCTTTCCTATTAATTTTTTACATGAATGAAAGCCTTATATATAGATGAATTAAACTGAGAAAAGTTTTATTTATGTTTTTTGGGAAGCATATTCTGTGAGTAAATGTTGTGATTTGCGAAAAGCCGAAAACATCAACAATCCGCCACTCCTTAGCTTTCCTTGTAAGATATCGCTTATTTCTTTGTTAATTTAATTGAAATATAAAAGTATCTCAATACAAAGCATTAATATTTTACCTTTCATTGAAATTCCCCTCATTTTTTACTCAAAAATAGGAAAAAATAAAGTTAAACCGCGCACATAAGAGGACTGAAACTGACGTACTATAGCGCCTCAATATCCGCCATCTTTGGCTTCACTTTTTGGCCTCGCGGAAGTCTTAAGTTCTTACTCCAGATATATGTGGAGCTCACTGTGTTTCAATAGTACAATGAACATACAAAAATAAGGGAAATTTAAGGATTCGTGAGGTATAGCGATAAGGAAAATTCAGTGTGGTGCATTGTTCTATTTGGTAATTTTGGTTGTTGTAGGTCTTCGATAGCACGCGGTTAAAACATGGATGATACTATTACACAAGAGTCGGAGAGGCGGAAAAGCAATCAGAAGAAAAAGAAAAAAAACAAAACGATCGCTGCAGATGAGCAGGAATCTGTGATCTTTGGCGATGCTGATGGTTCCCAAAAGGAAGCAGAAACTACGACAGAACAGTCGCCTGTTGCTCGGAAAAAGCACAAAAAAACCTCAAGGACGAGGAATCCTCTAATCCTCAAAGAGGAATCCACACAGTCTGATAGTGCGAATAGGAATCTTCGAAACGAGAAACAATCCACTCCAAAACAAACTCACGAGCAACAATCTACTGTATTAGAATGTGGCGATGCAAATGGTTCTCGTAGTGAGGATCAAGCTACGACAGAACAACCTGTTCGAAAAAAGCACAAGAAATCCTCAAAGACGGGACAGGAGTCTTCACAATCTGATAGTGCCGATACCAAACGAAAACAGAAACAATCCACGCTAAAACCGAGTCCTGATGTCAAAGAAGAATCCAAACGAAGCCCGGAAAAAATGGCGCCAACTCCGTCGCCTATACAACCACTATTGAAACAAGAATGGACCGACGATCAGGAACATAAGCTGCTGGAAAATGTAAAGATGTACGCCTCGAAATTAACTGGAAGAGTGCGACACTCACAACGCGTCAACTGGTCTAATGTAGAAAAGGTGGATAATTTCACAGAGGTATTTAATAGAATTATTGTCAACCAACTATTAATACCGCGTGCTTCATTTTAAGGATGCACCATGCGTTTTTTCTACTAGCCCAAATTAATTTAGTTACAAAATCTTTCTGTAGCCCTGTTTACACTACACTTGATTTATCAGCATGGCTAAAATGGATACCCATGCCCATTCCATCTGTGCCTGGCCTTTTTTTAATAATACCAGGTACCAATTTTAGCTGTACCAATGAAGTGACTGTAGTATAAGGGGGTTAGTGCCACATTTGAGAATTGCATCTGTAATCTTATATCACAGGGGTTTTGTAGAAAGATTCAAATTAACTAAAAATATAATTGGTAACATGTTAACTTGTGTTTGTTAGTTGTTACAACTTACAAATTATTCATCAATGGAAAATAATCGCCATTCAGGTATATCACTCCCTCTATATAACTCTTTGATTTATTTGGTGGTCGTGGTTCCAAAAGAAAATGGTTTTCATTATCTTTATTCTTATTAAGGTATAGACCCATTGCAGTAAAAAACATTTTTTTTATTATTAAATTCCCAAATTGTACCTGCCATCAAATGATTACCTATACCTTTAATATTTCTTATGTAAAGAGTAAAGAATTATAAGACTGATAAAAATAATAAACAAACCAAACTTTCCTTCTAGTCCTTGTTTCTTTATTACACTAAAAAATTAAAAAAGATATGTCTTACTCTGGCCTCATATGTATGAAGGGTTATCCTAGAGTGATTACTTCCAATATGGCATCAGGACCACTGGCCCTTAGCCAGAAAATTGTTATTAAATCATATGATACCATTGTCATTTTGGGGTCTTCAATTGATCTGAGGAATTCTAGAATTTTCCAGCCTGGAGTATCAAATCTATCACAAGAAACATGATGTGTTTTTCAGGCTAAAATTCAAATGTACCTGCCTAAAATGAGTTTGTCTGTTTTGATTCATCCTCCAAAGATATTACATCAGTATACTTAACTTACACTTTCAGTCATAAATATATTTTCCACTCTACTGCTAACTAACTCTTGTCTTTACCTTAGACAACTGAAAATTTGTTTTAGTCAGCCCAAGAATATATATAATATATGGTTATTCTGTGCTTTATGAATATGGACTATTTATACAAAAACAATTGGTCTTCTCAGTCTCAGTGATTACAAGCCTATTAGATCCACTAAGTCGAAGGCGAATATGGGCTTGTGATCACCTCGCCTTTGGCGACTAATTGTTAAATAGAAACTTATATAAGCATTGAAAAATATCTTAGAGTAATATCACTGTTTTAACTACAATTCCCCCTGGTTGATACTGAGTGCAATAAAGTTCTAAACCTCCAAGCTAGAAAAGCATAATGTGAATTTGGTTAGGGTCACTGATTACCAGAATATTTGCAGTTTTAATCTTGGCTAGATTAGATTAAAATAATACTCCAGAAATCACTAATCATTTGGGCAAAGTAGTAGGTATTGTATTGTAATGGGTTAAACGTTTGCAAGCTTCAATTGTTGTGTTTCTTTATATCCTAGACTGAAATTCAAGAGAAGTACAAAGAGCTGACGAAGAGGGTACGGAAGACCCGAAGTGTTTCCGAGATCATTGAAGACGCTCTTACCTTGCACGCGGAGAAGCAGAATACGCCACCCAAAATCAGAAAACTTGGAAAACAGCGACCGAGTGCTTTTTCAATTTTCTGCAAAGCAAAGCGATCAGGTCTTGTTGAAAAATATCCTGATTTGAAATTTATGGATGTTCATAAAAGACTTTGCCAAAGGTGGAAGGATCTTTCTGAAGACAAGAGAAAGATTTATATTGAAAAGGCGGAAGTAGCTCGGATAGAATATGATGAAGAAATGAGGAAGTTCAATGAGAAAAGAATCTCTGCACTTAAGAAACCAATGTCTGCGTATGACCTATGGAAGACGGAGCGTTTACAGGACGACAGCTTTGAGGGAGATGAGACCGAGAGTGATTTTTTGTTAGAATGGGAAAACCTGCCTAAGTCGAATAAAAATGGTTGGGTTCGCACCGCGGCGTTTGAGCAAGAGAAATACGATTCGAAAGTAAGGAGCATAGCGGGTGGATTTCGCCAACAGGGAAAAGCTGGGAAAATTAATGAGGATAAAAAAGATGCTTCTGAAACAAAAACAAAGGAAGAATCCACGTCAGATGATCTGCACCAACAAAGTTCCTCATCACTTGATAACTCCAGGCTGAAGAGAAAAAGTGATAATTCAGAGCCAGCTGTGAAGGCCCCTGTTAACAAAGTCAGCAAGAATGACTCCAGTAGTGGTTCGGACAGTAGTGATTCGGACAGTAGTGAATCGGACAGTAGTGAATCGGACAGTAGTTAAGAACCCGTGATAAGTGCGGTACTTTTAAATCTAAAAAATTCATATTTTTTACAGCTTGTGCTAGCAAAATAGGGCAAATATGCAGATTGAGATTTTTTTTGTATCATGATTTCATTTTTTCTTAGGAATCGGCGCAAGTGACGTGTTAGTTCAACTGAGACTGTGCTTCAAAGTATCAATATGACATTGGAATCAAAAGAAAGTTAAAAATTCTCTTTAATGGTTCTGTAGCGTCTATTCGGACTTTCCAACTATTCTTAACCTACTACGTAGCTTGTTTTGTTTTTTAATCATTTTCTAGTGATGCCTGATGGGAAGTTGTGTTGTAATGTTAACATAGACATTAATATACGTATAATACATACACGTATATTCACATGTAAACATGTATACTCTATTATTCTCAACTAAAAACGACACATTGGTCTTATTTAAGCTTGTGCTAGTATATATAATTATAGTCATGGTGCAACTTCTAAATAACTCCTTTAGTTTTGTTCGCCTTGATGGATTCCTGCTAATTTCCTCGTTACCTTGAAATTTCGGCTCTGTAAGAATATCCCTAGACAAAAAAATGATTAAAAAAAAATCCACTGTTCTCTAGTTTAACGGAACATGATAATTTTCACCTATCCTCTCGCGTTCAGAGATCAGTAAAAGCCCTGCACAGCACGAAGGAGTGAGAAGCCAAATTACATTGTTCGTGCTAAACTTTCATTGTGATAGGTTGGTTGAGACTTAAATTCGCTCGGCCATAGCGCGAGGCTTTTCATTGAGGCGCAAACCTTCCTGGCCCTAGAAGGTAACGTAATTATTTTTCGTAAGCAGCCCACAGATGTATTGAATATAAACATAATGTTAGGAATCCCAAGGCCAGAGCTGGGTGTGGCTAATGGACAATTTGCGCCTTAGGCGAATTTCTTACCTCGGCTTTAAAAAGGACATTTTCTGAAAAAGCATACTAAAGTTAGTAAAAATGCCAAGTTTGGCTGGAAATTGTTGTAAATTACGGAAGATATAGCCATGCGAAGTTGTCGATTTTGTATACTTTTGTATTACGACCGGAAGTGTGTAAATTAGTTACACATTTCCGCACGTATAAATACAAAAGTATACAAAATTTGCAACTTCGCATGGCTATATTTTCCGTATTTTACAAGATTTCGCAGCCAAACTTTGCATTTGCACTAATTTAAGTACGCTCTTTTTAGCTGTGGTGATTTATTTTCTTCTTATTACTTCGATCAAAAGTTAGTCTAAAGCGCAAGTGGTCCATTAAAAGAATATCCGGTAGTAATGTGGAAGCATCAAACATTGGTATTGTCAATAAGTTTATATTTGTTCCTCAGTGTATTGTTCAAGTTTCTGGTTCAACATGGATTCCAATTTTCGGTCCGATTTTATCAAAAGTCGTGGGAAAAACGAAATCGATGACTCGGAAAAACTACGTGTGTTGACGCTCAATTGCTGGTAAGACGTTTTGGTCCTGTTTTTAAAAATGAATAGGGAGGAAGAATACTGTTTATATGATTTCATAATTTTTCATATACATTGTTTGTGCCTGTAGAACGGAAATATACATGCACATTCCCCTTCTGTTTTCACTTGGATTTTAATGATTTTTAAAAAAAACAAATATCTGTTGAAGTGGCCTGTCGTTCTTTGCCCGACAAAAGGCTGTGGTTATGCAAAGTAGACCCATGCTCTAATATAAACGGACTGATGCATACAGTAGTGCAAGGCCTACAAGGCTACAACACTGCAAGGTGTCACCATGTTTACCTTTGTGTATAAAGTGACACTTTGCTGGGAATCAATAGTTTTTTTTGAGAAATTATTCAAGTATATAAATGCAATGGAAATGTGAAAATGGAATGTGAATTTCTGTTAGTAATCATTAGCTTATTGATGGTTGTTGTTGGTTGTTGTCAGTTTTTAGTTGGATCCCATTGTTTTGTAACAATTGTTTCATAGTTGTTCCTTTGCATAATATATGTGAACCTATGTATGTGCTAGTTATGGTTGAGATTAGTGTGTCAATATCAATGCAGACCTAAAACAGTAAGTGAAATGAGTGGATGGTGTCAGATTGTCTAGTGACAGGGGCTCCTGACAAAAATAGTGTTACCTTAATATAACAATAACACATCAAGGGCCAGTTGTGTACAGTATGGTGCTATCCACTGCATTGTAATTTTATGCAACCATTTTAACATGCTTGAAGAGCAATGAAATTGTAGATTTGGAGCTAATAGTTATAAAAAGATTCCCCAATTAAAGCATTTATTTAAAGCATAGGTTTAGGCAAAATAACTATCTGGTGAATAGCACTGTCTGGATTTTGTACAACCACCCCCAAGAATTGTGCTATGAACACAGACAGATCTAGGCAGCTGCTTTGGAGATAATCATCTCAATAATGTAATAGAACAACAAAATATGCACATAGAGATTGCATATGTAAGGGAAAATAATGTTTTTAAAGCAGTGTATACAATACTAATGGTTCTTGTTTTTCTGTAGCTCATAAGATCTATGTCTACTTGAGTTTTTTACTAGTTGCAAAAAAACTCTTTTCAACTTTAGAGTTTAGAACTATCCAATAGACCTTTCCCCTTTTAGCTTTCAAGCATGCAATGTGTGATGGTAGTTAATTGGAAATATAGATACTGTATTGGTTAGTTATTTACTTTTCTTCTTTCTTTGTCAGGGGCATTCCTTACTTATCAAAAGTGAAGAAAGAACGATTTGATGCCATTGGTCAAGAATTGAAAAAAGGAAATTATGACATTGTTTCACTTCAGGAGGTAAACTCAACTGCGCATTTAAAAGTATTGTAAATTGCACATACAAAGATAAATTTAACTACAACACAGGAACAATATATAGATTAAATATCATTTAGGACCAAACCTGAAATGTTTTAATAATGCAGCTTAGGTTTTCCAACAGAAATTTGATACTGATACCTCTGTGACTCTTATTAATATATGCACACCTATTAACCAACTAACAGTTTTAGCACAAGTTTTGTAGTATGTATCTACCTAACATGCTTGCATTTTGTTATTGGCTTTTTGTAACAATAGTCAACAGTGTAGATTCGTTCTTTTGAGAGAAGTACAATCTGTAATTATGAGAAGATGATGGATGAAGTTCACTTTACTAAAATGTGTGTAGGGCAACTTTTCCTCAAGGACAGATGTAAAACAGAAGTACCATAATTTCTTTGTTAATTATGTTGAAATTATGCATTCTAGTTAAAATTTGCATTTGCCATGTTTTTCATACTTGTTGATTGCCCTGACGTAGCTGTGTTTCTGTTTTTATAGCAGTTCTTAGGCTTAGTTTGGTTTTATAGGTTTGGGATAAAAAAGATTATGAAACCTTGAGGGCTGTTTTGGAGAAAATTTTTCCTTATTCATATTATTTCTTTGGGTAAGATTTTCTCACAATATCACTTTATTATTCAATACATTAATTTTTTTTAACAATTTCTAAATGAGATATCAAATACACACAGTACTAGAACTCAATTTTTATTCTCATTAAACACTTTTTATTTCTACGGTATACTGTATTGTATTGTTTATTTCGTAAGTGCTATTCTGACGGATTTCAACTTTTCCGTGTACTGTATGTACCTGAAATTAGAAAGCTGCAATAATAAAGATACATTCACTTCTCTAATTGTAGCGGTGTTTATGGAACAGGGATTTGTATATTTTCGCGGTATCCTGTACTCAAAACATTTGCCTATCCTTTTGCTGTGAGTGGCTATCCTTATGCAATCGCTCATGGAGATTGGTTTGGTGGAAAAGGCGCTTGTTTTGCTTTGATTGATCATCCAAAAATGAAAATACACTTCTTTACTTCGCACGTAAGTATTAGTGCTCGTTTTCCAGCCCTAGATGCAGAAGGTATCTTATTCTGAATACCTAGTTCTATGAACATTGTGAGCGTTCAACCTTTTGAGATGACTCTATCTCTGTTTACTCAGTTATCGTATATACTTTAATCTTTATCTATATACGTACTATCATTGGCAGCCTTTTCAATATTCGAAGAATTTTACATATAGTATATAATACTGACATTCGGCTTAAAGATATTAATTCTAACACTAACCAAAATGGGGTTAATAACGTCTCAAATAGAACTTATGCAGCCAGCTTTATTATAATGATGACTGAGTGACAAATCCCTGTACTATGTATAGTCCACTACCATGGCCGTTTTATTTTTGACAGTGTAAATTTCCCAAAAAGCACTAACACATTCTCTCGCATATTGTGCTGGCGTAACACGATCTGGAACAATAAAATTTTAAAAGTATAAAACATACTCCAAAGACCAACCATGTTACACGATGCAATTTTTCTTGTAACTTGCAATGTATGTAAATTACTGGCGATTTTTCAAAAAAATTGTATACAGGACCGAAGCTAGAACGATAATTGGGAGGGGGGGGGGGGGTGTTTATTCATATGTTCAGTTCTGCCCGACAGATTTCTTTTGTAAGCTATTTCATCGTGTCACGTGCTTAGATGGTGTCTTTGAAGTTTGAGATGCGATTATTACAATATTTCCCAAACTTTAGCAAGGAAAAGGAAAAAGAAAAACCATCGGCTTAATTTAGCCCCGTTTACATTACATTCAGTGGCCAGTTGTATAAAAGACTAATTAACTTTTAAATGTAGTTAAGGACAGAATTTGCCAATCAGAGTCGCCCGCACCAATTTACTCAGCGCCCGGCCTTTGTCTTGGTAGCCTGAACACTAATAAAACTAAACACATATCAACCAATATCAACCTCAGGTTACCTCGTACCCAGGGTTTTATTACTGTGCCTACGCTCCACGGCCAAGCATAGGTACGATAGGCACAGATATCAATTTTAGCAGTGTCGTGCAAATAAATTGGGTGTAGTATAAACGGGGCTTTTCATTGTAGTTTAGCACTTATATGTGGTATTTGATTATTTGTGAATATTATTTTAGTTACACGCAGAGTATGACCGTAACAATGACGTATACCTATCCCATCGTGTTGTGCAAGCGTATCATCTCTCCAAACTGATTGGTCAAATCACCGATCCTGAGGATTTTGTTTTATTATGCGGTGATATGAACACAGAGCCCGAGGATCCATGTTATCGCATACTGAAAGAATTACCTCAGCTTAGTGATTGCTGGTTGGAACGTGGGTCGAAGGTAGGATGCTTTATTCAGATTCATGTTAACAATATAACGTCGGCTTATCAAGTGTAATAAATACATAATAAATTGCTTTATCGCGCGCAACATTTAGATATAATATATTTTTTCAGATCACACAGGATCAATCTCGAATTTGAGTGCAGTTTGGAATTCGTCCGGGCTGCACTGCAAAGCATTTTAAAAATCACTCCGTTATCATTCATATTTCTAGTCCAATTGCTATGGTAATACGTCAGACAGAAGTGAGAACATGTTTACATCAGAGAAATACGACAAGCACAAAGTCGGAGGTCCTGAGGATGGCAAGCGTATAGATTACATTTTCTACAGGTCGTTGGATCAGAGATGGGAGTGTGACAGTGCAAACGTGACGATGAGCAAAGTCCCTGGGGCTGAATTTCCATTCTCAGATCATGATGGTGTGGAGGCCAGTTTTGTGTTCAATCAAAAAACGTCGGAAACGCCAGGTATGGATACAATTGCCTCGTTTTGTTATGTCGTATATTTGGTTTGTAGAGAATACTATTTAGGTCAGCAACAAGGTATATCTTTGCTATTTGTTCTCAAAATATTTGTTAATTAACCCAGGCACTGCATGTGGTAGAATTTGTTAAGAAATGCGAGGTTGAATTTCTGATATACGGAAATTTTTCCAATTACGCTTTTTGAAATGATTCTTGAACATTCGTGTGCTCTCCATGAGCCATCGTTTTGACTATTCAGTTATATTCTATTAATTATACTTTCAGACTTCCCAAGCGACAGTGAAACAGTCATATCTGTTCTTTCAGAAGCTACGACTTTAATCAAAACTGAGCTGAAACATATTAACAAACACTTCTATAAAAAATGCATTGCTATCATCCTACTTATCGCTTTTATATTGTTACCAGTCTTCCTGCCGGCGAAGGAGGGCTCTTGGTTCCTCGCCAGTGAACCGTTAGGAAGAATTGTGTATATTTTACGCATAGTACTGACCGTTTTTGTGTGCGGGTTTACTTGGTTATTTTTAATCACACGAAGCCATGAACGACACGTTTACGAGAGTGTGCTGCGTGAGATTAACCTAGAATTGCAACATGATCATACTTCATATAGGCTAAAATGAATATCTCCTGCATGGGCATAGATCCCTGTTTTATGGTGAAAAATGATTTTATTAAGAAAATATTTCCAATAAATATGTCAATCTTGTATGTTAATGTATAAATGTTCGTAACTTAGCTACGTTCGTAACTAACTTCTGCTGTCTTACAACACCCAAAGCGGAACTTAAATTTGTATATAATCAAGGGTGAATGATTTTATTTAGATTATTTACAATTTTAAAGCTATTAATAAAAACTCAACTATGTTTTTTATGTCGGTCACATCACTTTTTGTAAAAGTTGCATTGTCATCCATATTTCATTTCTTCGATGTTTTCCATTCTTTACATGTGAAAACTTCATGTTGATAATTTTTAAACTCATTTGAGAAATTTGAAAGTACCCCCAAAAACGCCATCGCGAGAAAGGCTAATCAGATAGACTTATCAGACTAGACTTTAAATTTCTTCTTGGAGCGCTGATATTTTCAATTCATTAATTCATTTTTATTCATTTCTATAAACTTACTGCATACTACAAAAACAATATATACACAAGCAAATGACAAAAGATCTCCAAATGGCCCAACAATGTGAATTACCCAGGCGAAGTATAATATACAATCATTAAAGAATATATACTGTTATAAACAGCCATCTTAATATTCGATGGTAAAGATCTTTGAGTTTTCTGCCAGCATTAAAACTCACATTACCTACTAAAGGCCTACCCAATTTTACCTTTTTGAATTTCATTGCAAAACGATAATATTCAGGTCCAGAATTTAAACTTTGTTCTGCCTCTCGCTGACCTGGTTCGGATTGACTTCTTTCCCTTAGTCGAAGTCAAATCTGAACCTCGCTAATAAATGTTTCCTGGCTACATTAAATTAATACCGTAGCTAATGTTTCTCGCGCGAACCAGGGGTGGGAAGCTCCCCCTTGCTTTTACCCAACCATGAAATCTGCTTTGTGCAACGCTAGAAGTGCTGCCAACGAGATTCAAGAAAAGCTAAGTTACACAGAGTCACAGACGGTGTTTTGCAAATATCTGGTATGCGGCAGTACAGCAGTACGCTTTCGCAAAAATCTTCCCCTCCTGCCTTTGCATCGTTCCGGCTTCCCTGATTACAATGATAGTCCTCAAAACATTTCATTATATAGAAACAGCCTTTAGTCTAAAATAGAATTGGATGGGACTAGAGGGACTTCCTATGTGAGCGACGCAGAATTTCGTTGATAGAAGCGCATTCTTCTAAGACATACTGGCTAATATAGATCTACTGTATGCGATTTTTACTTTCCACAGTTTGCCTTAGCAAGATACTGAATCTCACTGTCGGAAAGAGCGTAGTTATACATTAAAAATTCGTCTGTGGCGCCATTCAGGTACTCCTTTTCGTAAAAATGGCGACCAATACCGGCAAAATGTCCCCAATCCTGGGATAAGAGTCCCGTGCCGGATTTTTCTTTAATTAATTTCCCACCAGTGTAAACCTTGGCGAGCATTGATGTTGAGTCATATGTTGCAGTCACGTGTGTCCAATTTCGCGCGGGAATTATGGGTATAGTCTCTATTCTAAAAATAGATTTGCCTTTCTCGTCATTGTGCGACCAGATAACTTTGCCGTTGTCAATAGCAAAATTGTACTGATCGTCTTTATGCTCAGAACGACTGCCAATGGTGTTGAAAAGCTGGTGGTGACCCCTATGAAGCAAATGGACAGAATGAGGTTTTCTCTCAAAATTCACAACAGATAAAATACATAATGACCTGTGAATCAATGGTTCATACACATTTATAATTATAGAAAATATAAAAAAACACCCTCAAAGGTATTTTACTCTTGCTGTGTCAATTGCTACGAAATTTCGCTACAACACTTCGCTTCAACAGTTAGACTCTACGAAAACCAATTCAGAACGAATTCAGATATATCTAGCCAAAAACAAATATATCCATTCTAGATTCCTCTATAAAAAGAAGAATTTACATCTATTTATATATAATATAGATTTATCGGAACGCCTGGGAGGAAAGATTTGAGAGAAAACCACAAAAAATTGCAAGTTAGTTTAAAATAAAGTAAGAAAAGGTTTAGTGGAAAGGTTATGATTCATTATAAGTCAACCTACTTAGTCACTCCAACACTGAACTGACTAATATGTGCATGCAATAGACCTCATCTTAATAATTACCTGTTTGTATTTAACTTCATCCATGTAGCTAACGTGATTGCGTTCAAAGGTTTCCCTTTGAACCGCTGACCATCGATGTCGATCTCACCGTGACTCATGTTCATACCCAGTCCACAAATACCTGGCATATCCGAAAGAGTTAAATTTACCAGTTTGCCATTATTGCCTAGCCCCGACTGGTCCAGGGTGAAAAGTCCTTGGCCTTTCTCAAATCCAAAATGCAGTACAACTCGATGCGAGTTACACGTTTGGCTGAGAGACTGAATCTCAGCGGCAGGCAGTGCTTTGCCAAAAATGTAAAATTCGTCGATAATACCAAGTAGTGGTTGACTTTCGATCCATTGACCGCTGTCCGACATGTCATACAGTTTACCAATCACGACTTTGCCACTCCAGTCCTGTAAATAGTTTTAAAAAATGTAATTATATGTGGACTTATTAAGGGTCGCTAGTACCTATGAAACAAGATATGATATAGATTTCCGATGGTCTATTTATATACAACTGGATGTTCAGAGCGATACCATATTTCTTCACTAGACTGACCCTTTCTCTTAAACAAACCGTCTTATAGCTTATGGACATTTCCTAGCGAACTATATTTACTTATACTCCAGTTTTCGTACCTGTGATAAAGCTCCACCCCCAAGACTGGTTTGGGAATTCTTCAGCTGACCATTGATATATATCTCAGCTTTACGAGTCCTGACATCGTACGTCGCACAGACATGTGTCCATACACCGGGCTGAATAATTGCTTCTTTAGTTTCAACGCTAAAAATTGTCTGAAACAAAAACCCATTTAAGCTTACTATGTAATCGTTATGGTATCGAATTGAAAGAAAAATCTCCAAAATAGGCTAAACAAGTATAGATACTCCAGAGGACTAAACGGCTAAACCCAACACTTTGAAAAAGGTGAATTTTTACCACTGAAGTCCAATAATACGTTTGTACGTGGTGTATTTTCGAGAATTATTTTTATAGCTTTTACTTCTGATATTTTTTTATTTGTAATTATATGGTCACTGCAAGGTTTTTTTCTTTGCAGGATCATGAGACCTGAAAATGTGATTGCATTTAGGAGTGTTTAATTAATACAACTTACTTGTGACATTGTGTTTCTATGAAACCATCTGACGGACCCTGCATTGATTTGGAAATGATATTGACCGTGTTTATTTCCAGGATTCTTAGGATTCGTAGTCATGAATATTTCTTGATCCCCCTGGATGTTGTCTAGCTTCAACCATAACATGACGGTGATACCGAACAATGGACGCCGTATCATCGCTGATCCCTTTATGCTTATGTCACCTTGACAAAAAACATTTTAATTAATTTCAAAGTTCACTGATAAAATGTTTTTAAAAGTAAAGAGACTAGATGTTGTGGTACCATTACAATTTAGAAGTTGAGACATTCTTATACGCCGAGGCATTAAAATAATTTTCAATATATAATTATCTAATACGATTTTGTGGCACTTCACTCGATGTAGGTAAATTCTAAAGGTTTTTTAGGGGGCTTAATTTCGAGTTGAATTATACACAACTCAATTGAAGCCAAGAACAGTTGAGAAAAATTAGTCATCGTATAAGCTAGGTTCGATTCCTGCCGGACGACCAGTTGACCAATTCTTCTTAACTGTTCCTGGCTTGAATTGAGTTTTGTGTGATTCCACTCTCTTTAATGCGTTCATCGCATGAATATTGAACGACATTTAATTTGACCCTGATCAACCTGTGCTAAATAGCATACCTTGGTTTAAGCGAAGTCCACTACCACAATTCCCACTTGCTTTTGTGACCTGCGCTAGACTGCTAACTGAAGCATCGATGCTATTACCAGAATCATCAAACACAATATTACCAGATTGCCTTTCAAAACTATAGTACACCAATTGGAAACCTTTGCTGCCTAAAAATTGAAAGTTAAGCTTGATTGATGTTCTGGTACTGTAAACTACGGAAATATCCCAAAAACGTGGTTAATGTTATCATATGTTAAAATTATAATTATAAAAATATTAATGTTAAAATTTCATAGTTAATGACCTGCAGCGACCTCCACATTTCGAGCACGTTGGTTTCACTTCTAAGACTTACCTCCACTATTCCCACCGAAGTTACATTTACCAAACAGGTTTTTAACTTCAAATGGCGTTAGTGCGCGATTGTACGCCATTATCTCATCAATATACAGCATATCCCCGGCCAGCCCCGTGTGCATCCCAAAACCTGCTTGTCCGTCCCAGTCCTCTGAGAGTGATCCCGTCCCAGGAGCTTCCTTGACCAATACCCCATTGATATATATCCCTGCTTTGCTGCTTGTTGAAGAGTACGTCGCTGCGAAGTGAACCCAGTTTCCTGTCAGCATAAGAAAGTAATGATTGAGTATATAAACTTAATTATACACGTCATACCACACAACCCTACGACAAATTACATGACCTTGTCTCCAATTTGAAAACAAATATTGTATGGGAAGCAATATTCATACTAACGTGGCAATATCATGGCTCCTGACTTCACTTCAAACACAATTTGATCATATTCATTTCGATGTCTCCATAAAACGGACCCATCATTCACACTTAGTTCATACTGGTTCTTCGTATGCATAGAATGTCCTCCAATGGTCTCAAACAGTGTATGTCTGCCTTCAACGGTCGTAAAGTTCGCCCAGAGGGCAATAGTAACAGCGTCTGTTGGCTTGTTTCGAATTGTCTTACCATCCAGTTTAATAATTCCTGTGTTACTTGGAACCTTTAAGCCCATACCACAGGTACCATTGACAGCTAAGGGAATTGATAAACAGAAAAAAAAGAATCTTGAGTTCGTCTTGTTGCCATAAATAGTAGCTCTTAATTAGACTGTCGTGGCTTTTAAATATGTTTTAGCATATTAATTTTAGGGTTAGGCGCCACAAATTCCCGGTCCTTAGGGCAATTTTGGGGGGCTTTACTCAGGCACTGTCTTCCTAAATTTTTCTCATGTGCTTAAATTATTTCGGGAGTCGTGTCAGCATAGGATCGGAAAATATTGAACTCTTTGCTCCGCCCCCTGAGATGAGAAGTCCTGGGCCAAAATATAGGCGCTCCAAGCTGGGTATGATCCCATTATACAGGGTCAGTGTATTGTAGGGAAGCACGTTTATTGGTAATAAAAAGATTACACTAGATTAGTTATTCGGTGAATCTTGCCCAGTTTAACCGCAGACTTTGCAAAAACGATTTACATACTGTACCTAATGAGGGCATCAGAGGGGTGATACCCATGATAGAAGCATCGTTTTTCAGACCAGACGTGTCCAACGAAACATTTCCCATATCTTTCTCAAACGCTAGATGAAGTATGACGCTGCTTTTCGCTCCACTGCATTTTGACATGAGGTTCTTAATTTCCATTTCTTTTAACGTTTTATTGAAAATATAGAATTCATCGATATATCCACGCAAGTCTTTCTCTCCTTCTTCAGTACCGATACCTAAATCCCAAATGAAAGTTTTTTAAATGTTCATTGCATGACCTAAACCTAGTCAGCAAGCTACTTTCGCTGGTTTTGCGATTCGTTTTATACAGTAGAAGGAAACGATTCCGATTCGATTCTAATTGCTTACTCAATTGATGAAACGCTTATAAGGAGTTTCAGAGGAAGAGGTAAGATTCTCATCGAAAAGCGAAGTGCACGATTATCTGCGAAAGAAATATTTGCCGGAAATTGCATTTTTCGAGCCACAAATAAAGAGCCACATTTTAAGTCTCTGGTGAATGACAGGGTTGAGTTTCCCCTTAAGACATTGTCGTTCAAAGCTACATATATATACCAAGCGATGTACTCTTCTGTTAAGTCATTGTTTGCAGGATAGAATCTATTCAACGAGAATTCTGTTTACTAATAATATTTATTGCTACCAATTAACCACAGTGGAAGTACTTACCAACGTATTTCTCCCAATCAGTAGATAATGGTACGCCCGGGTCCTTGACAACTTCTTTCGTTAGTGCACCATTAATAAATACTTGAGCGGTTCCTGTTACTACAGTATATGTCACTAAAACATGATTCCAGGCACCTGCGGTCAGTACTGGCTCATCCGTAGCAACACTGAACAATGTGTTTCCCAATGAATTGCGATGAAACCAAATCAATTTCCCATCTTGAACTTCCAAACGGTATTGCACTAGAGGAATAATTATAGTGTAATATGCACAGAGAAATAAGAGATCAGAGATGTCAAGCTGTGGCGGGGGGACAGCGGAGCTAGAAGTTAATGTGAGGGGCGAGGTTCCAAAATTACCTGCAGAATTATTATACGAACAAGTAAAAAATTTCGAATAAAATTTTGTATACGAACTTCGCCTGCAGACTGTGTTCTCTGTGAGCTGTACGTCAACCCCCTATAAAAAATGTTCTCCGCCCCTATTTTTGGGTTGGTAATCATCACAAAGCAAGTGAAAATTGATGTAGTTTTTAATACAATATGAGAAAGACATCAATACAAAACAATTATTACTCCGAGAAAGAAGATATCGTATGATTGAATTCACTTCGACAGTGTGGCTCAATCACATTGCATATAGTAAATTCATTAATTCGAATTTTGCGACTCAAATACACCACTCAGTTAATATCGCTTATTTAATACAGTCTAAAATCGTCTTAATACTTCCGCGTGAAATTCTGTCTTTGTAAAACAAAAAAGTGGTCCGTTTGACATGACAAGTGACTATCATGCTTACTCATTTTAGTTCTTCATCTACTCACGTTTTTGGTGCTTAGAATGACCACCAATGGTTTCAAACAGATGCAATAATCCATTAACTCGTAACAACTTGATCATGAATGCTATTGTAACTTCTGACTGAGGAATTCCTCGAAACCCTTTGCCTTGTATATTAATGTTTCCACCTAAAAGCTGAGCACATACTCCACAACTTCCTTCAACCTTGGTAACCGTTGCACCATGATTTAATGTTGCATTATTGTTCTCCATAGAATTGTCTAAAATACGACTTCCAATGTAGCGGTCAAAGCCTAGGTACAGAACGCAGTCTTTGTTGCCTGAAATAAAATAAGTATAATTTTAAATGAATTGGATCAACAATAATAATAATGATTTACGATTTCCTAAACGATAATTCACTAGTTTTTGTCTTCACTAGGCAGAAATTTTTTTGCATAACGTGTTAAGGAGGCCAACTATTGATGCAATATGGAAACCGAAATATAAGCTCTTCTATACACTGTCCGAGCACGTTTGGAGAGTTTGGAAGGATATTAATTGAAAAATAGAGAGAGGCTGTCATAATATATTAACTAAAAGACATGAACGTAAATGTTGTTAGCCCTTAGGGGGGGGGGGGGAAAGGTTGAAAAAGTTGGTTGATTTGACTGGATGGACCAAGGTGTGTGAAAGTTTTCCTTACTTCACGATTTAGTATTTTACGCATCTATAACTATGCCGCGGAAAAAGTCAGCATTAAGACCTCTTTACCTCGATAGAACAGTAAATCGATAAGAAGAATTAATTAGTCCTTTCCCAATCGAGCAGGGTACTAGGTCAGTAGGTCTAGTCGCGAACCGTAAAGCATCTATGGACTGTTTGGAGGGACAGGAAATATAAGTCTGAAATAATTTGTCCCTCCAAACAGTCCATAGATGCTTTGCAGTTCGCGGCTAGACCTAGTACCCTGCTCGATTGGGAAATGGCTAATTTAGCATTTAGCAAAACGTCGAGCCTGAAACAACAGCAGAAAGGTCGCGTCTCGGTGCACAAGATCGTGAGAGAATTGACTATTTAGAAGTGGAGGAAAGCACAATATTTTCGCCCTTTCCCGGAAAATTGTCTGTATGTGGGGGGGGGGGGGGATATCTCCTATCTAAACCCCTCTCCCCGCGGATGTGTTAACGACTTAAACGCTGTTGAACTGCGAATGAGTTAAACCTAAATCATTTGAGCAACTTAAACTGGATAGTGTTAGCTAATCAAACAAACCAAAATATAACGTACCGTTGAGTCCAGCTCGTGACAAACAAAAGAGCGTTGAAAATACTAAAAATAATTTGTCCATCTCTCAGGCTATCTTTTATCAACCTTATCTAATAAGAAACAAAGACGAGCTAAGAGTTGGATAACAAATCTAATACACACAGTGTGTGACAAGAGAAAATGAAGGTGTTTGAAGGACAGAATATCTGGATACTTAATTTCCAATTATCTAAAGAAAACTCAAATAGCTAGTTATATTTATTCAGCCATATAGGTACAATGAAACAAATTCTGGTTAAAAAAAGGTTTCAATAACAGATCTGACTCAATTAGTATACACTTTCGCTCTTCATGTTTAGACGAACATGACAAATAGTCAATACCTCAACAGTTAATAAATTGCGAGGTAATGTAGTAACAAATGACAATTGTAGCCAAATAATTATCAATATAAAGTTATTCATGTAAAATATGTATTCATCCACTTCGGCCATCAACGACTGCCAAAATCAAACATGTTTGATAGCCAGTTTTATCTTTCTGAAATAAACTCTAGCCTGCGTTAAAGCGCTGTATAGTATATACTTCGTACTCTACTGACCTTTGATCTAATACTTAATGCGATACAATGTCACTAAATCTTTTGAATATTCGGCTATTTCGGATCCAGCATATGCTATGTCTATAATCATTCATTTCCTTCCGTTTCATGCATTTAATTTAAACATTATAAGAAACTGAAGAACACCGCAACAAAATGTACAAGTCTGAAATAATTGTTTAGCATGAAACTGCTAAAGTCTTACAATACGACGTGCACTCATTTATTAGTAATTACCCTTAATTACAAATGATGAGGAATCAATGTTTTGCACTTACAATTTTGGCACTTTGTTGAATATCCGATTAAACAATTCCTTCCAATTTTCATAACCACTGATAATTAGGCAGCATATCAGAATTTTTCATCTGTGTCGAGTATAACGAACCAGCATCACTTCAGATTATCATCTTGCTCACGCCGGCTCATGTTGTTTGCAGTCCAAATCCACCTGCAGTGAATACGAGTCTGACAATGAATCCTCGAAATATATCCTGAAGATTGTGTATAAAACGGTTGATAAATGTCTTCAAAAGTACAAATTCGATAAAATAATTCCCAAATCGAATAATTTTCAAGAGAAGGAATTCTTTGACGATGTTTTCAAAAATTTAATCAAGCGTAACAGGTACCAAAAGTTACGTCAGCTTAAAGCATTTTCCGGTCTTTTTATTTAGTTTAACTGTGTCCATTGATATATTCAAGTTTCTAGTTTCATTATCAAGATATTTATATCTATAAAATCAGGGTTTTTTGGATTTTGACTACAAAAGCGAGCTATAGGGCCGTATCGAGAACATTCTGACTGGGGGATGTTCTCCAATAATATAAAGACGAAGTTATGTTATTGTCATTGAGATGAATAAACCATGTTTTCATCTCAATGATCTTCATCTGAATGTATTACAATAACTTCGAAACTCATGATTTATACTAAGGAAGCCTCTTGGCTGATTTTGGATATCATGATTCGTAAATTTACGAAAATGTAATTAAAAGAACCAAGACAAAATGACAAAAATTGGAGAGTGTTTTGATCAGGAAAGCATCCATAAAAGCAGAAATTTCCGTTTCGGCAAATGTGCTTGCATGGTTTACCGGCGACATTCAGTTGTGATCAATACATATAAAATTATTATAGTAGCAAGAAAACTCGAATCCCAAATGTAATAAACATCAACAAACTCTAAGGAAGTTCAAAGAAACACCACGGAAAAAAATAATAATGAATTTCTATTTTCTAACTATTCTAATAATCTAATTTGCAGATTTACGATGTAGTCAGGAGGCAGTCTCCAAAAATGTGATTATTTAAGGGTTTCGCTACACTTTTTGAGTAGAAGCTGGCAACATAGCTTAAAATTTTCGTCTGGTCGCTCTGATCAAGAATATCGCTGTTGCCACTCTCAACTCTTGCTAGTTTGGCCGCTAGAGGCCGTTTTCCCAAGGCCCTCAACATGAAAAAAAGGCTGAACTATAAATATTCGTAAAATCGCGAGCAATAGCTGTCAGACTCCCGAATATTCTATACAGGGTGTATCAAAAAAAATGTCCCAAATGTAAAATTTCCGTTTTTCAGGATATTTTGCAGAATTTGGCAATTTTTTGTGTTCCTAGAGATAGTTAAGACTTATCTGGTATATATACCTAGGCCAAGTTTGGTTTTTCATTAACAAAATTATGTTACCGGGGGGGTGGTTCCTTTCCACTGATATTGAGAGGGCTTGCGCGCGAAAATGCGAAGCTGAAATTGAGATATTATTTAGCTGTCTAAAAGTAGCAAAGCTTTTTAATAAACTGTCAAAGTTTCAGGAAAAATAATGCAAACTGGGAGCAACGCGCGACCCCTAAAAGTGACAAATATTTCATTGCGCGCAGTGGATTAAATGCATGGTTGATTTTAGCGTGACCGATCTCATGCAAGGCTGTGCAAATGAATAAATTAAAGCGAGAAACTGAACAAGAAGACGAAGCGATTTAATAACAAGATTTTTATTCTTGATGTTAATCCTCAACATTTCTACCATTTCTTTCTAAGCAAACTGCGGCTCGTCTGAGCATGGTAAACACTGAACGGCGAACCACTTTGTCTGTCCTGCCTCAAATTATCCATTTCGTTCGAAATTCTTTCTTGCAAATCGCCTACGCTACCACCGGCAAATCTAGGCGAATGGACAGACAAATGGTTCGCTGTTCAGTGTTTAGTATGCTCAGACAAGCCGCAGTTTCCTTAGAATGAAATGGTGAGACATGCTGAGATTAACATCACGAATAAATCGCTTTGTTTTTGTGTTCAGTTTCTCGCTTTAATTTATTCATTTGCCCACCTTGTATGAGATCGGTCACGCTAAAATCAACGATGCATTTAATCCACTGCGCGCAATGAAATATTTGTCATCTTTAGGGGTCGCGCGTTGCTCCCAGTATGCATTATTTTTCCTGAAACTTTGACAGTTTATTAAAAAGCTTTCCTACTTTTAGACAGCTAAATAATATCTCAATTTCAGCTTCACATTTTCGCGCGCAAGCCCTCTCAATATCAGTGGAAAGGAACCACCCCCCGGTAACATAATTTTGTTACTGAAAAACCAAACTTGGCCTAGGTATACCAGATAAGTCTTAACTATCTCTAGGAACACAAAAATTTGCCAAATTCTGCAAAATATCCTGAAAAACGGAATTTTTACATTTGGGACATTTTTTTTGATACACCCTGTAGTATAAATAATTGCACTTATTAAGTCTACTTGGATTAAGAAATAAAGGAAGTGTCACGTGACTGGTGACGTGTTTTGTTAATTTACTTGTAACAATGGAGGATTAGTAGGAATTACACGGACAGACTCAGCAAGAGATCGTTGGTGTTTGACGTACAATGAGAGAGCCCAGTTGTCGGAGGATACAAAAGCTATGTTTGACGTTGGCAGTAAGAAGGGAGATGAACATAAGGATAATTATAGGGAAAGCGAGAAGATGTCGCGACCAAGAAGATGTCCTTAAGCTGGTTTTTCAGTTCACGAAATACGAAGTGTTCCGTCAGACAAACGAATTAGTTGTAGTTACGACAGGAGATGTTGCAAATGATAAGATTAAAGAAGATCTGCTGAAAGCTCAACAAACCGGACAGTCAATTATCAAAGAGTTCGTAGAAGACAGGATTATCGAGAAGAAGATTAAATTCCACGACAGCATCAAGCAACAGAAATTACAAACTTTTGAAAAGCTGTATTCTGTCCCAGTATCAGTAGATAAAGGCAAGACCATCTCCATTAAGGCAGATCGAGATTTATTAAGAAGAGTGGTAGTAGCCATAGAATCCGGACGCGACGTAGATGTCGACATCCTGTTACAAAGAGAACTTTCACCCATTCCTTTGTCTTTAGCTACATTTGATGGAAAGTTAAGGTGTGCATCCAGCAAGGCTGACTTAAGTAACATTTTGCAAAACAATGATTCACAGAGTCAGGTTCCTATCAATCTGGATAAAACATGTTGTATCATTGATGCGATGGCTGCTGTGCAATCTCTAGCAAATCGCTCTGGGGCAAAGACTTTCGGCGAGTGGTGTGACAATTTCCTTAAGTACGTTGTTTCTAAGTTTTCTGCTAACTGCACACGAGTTGATGTCGTATTCGACCGATACCTAGATAACTCGATCAAAGGGGGAACACGAGCAAAACGTTAAGGGGGTAAGAAGAGCGGGATTCGAAGAAACGTAGAGAAGAGGGAGCAGAAGATTGGCAACTGGGAAACATTTATTGTTGTTCAGGAAAACAAGGCGAGTTTGGCCAATTTTCTGTCCACCGAGATAAAGCAAAGTTTCTGCCCGCATCCGACACGCGAGTTGGTCCTTAGCGGTGGGTTCAGTGACATATTTCAAGTATGGTCATCAGATGATACTAAAGATCTGTCGAGGCTGGCATCAAATCGCGAGGAGGCTGACACAAGGATTGTGTTGCATGCAGGAGATGCGACTCTTCATGGCTATCTGCAAATCAATGTTGTCTGTCGTGATACAGACGTCCTTGTTCTCTTATTAGGGAGATTTAGCATGAGGACGTGAACGTCAAAGACGACGTGAAAATGGCGAGTAAATGGCGTGGCATGTCCATATTTGGGTGCATCACGCCATTTATTCGCCATTTTTACGTCGTCTTTGACGTTCACGTCCTCATGCTAAATCTCCCTATTGGCACACAGACAACTTCTCTGCCAAGCAATCTCAATCTGGATGTTTTCTGGGACAACCAAACGAAAGCGACACATCCCAGTCCACAGTATTTCATTGTCAGAAGAGAAGCGAAAGTCTCTGCTAGCATTTCACCCCATAAGTACCGGTTGCGACACAGTTAGCCAATTTGCTGGAATTGGCAAGCAAACGGCGTGGAAGATATTTGAGACCCATCATCATCTGCTTCAACATCTTGGCGACGGTTTACCAGAGAAGAAAGTGTAATGATTTATGGTTTTTATGCAAATCATCATTATTATATTATTTAAAACGTAATTAGATCTCCCAAACGGACTTTTCATATCAATTTACAAAAATATATACAACGGGTTAAAATATATTTAAAATTATTATATAGCTTTTCAAAATCCTCTATTCTGATTGGTTCACGAGCGGTCCGTAAAAACCCTTATTATATGCATGGGGTATTTTACTGACAAAATAAAACACTCGTAGAACTCATACGCCATTACAACCGGGGTACAGTGCAAATATTTTCCGTATGTCACGTTTAGCGGTGACATAACGAGTTTCAAAAATTTACCCACCATTTTCATTGTTGTTGTTGTAAGAATGCAAATGGTGTTTGGTTCGTATAAAAAACGAAATTAACGTTAGAAATACAAATTAAAACACTTAAAACTTAAAAGACAGTTCAGATAAGTAAAATTTATTCGACTTTTAAAGTTTAAGCTATATAACTTAAAAAAAAAAATATTCGCTTTTATAATGGTCTTTCGCGGCGTCTTACTTCCACTGATCTGAAAAAATATCAGTGCTTACTTGTCGTCTTTGTGTGTATTTTTGTCTCTGATTTTACTCCATATAATATGGATTTTATGTTCTCGTGTCAAAAATAGTATTGTTTTTCTGTACGGGAAAGTATTGCCTTCCTTTTATCGCACAGACCTCGCTCCTTTGTCTGTACGAAAAAACTCAGGGCCGGCCATACTTTCCAGTACACACAGACCTCGCAAAAAAGTAGTTAGCTGACCTCACGCTTGGTCAATAATCAGTTAATATTTACATAAATTAGAATAAAATATTCTGCTTCAACTTCTTTTTAAAAGGTATAAAGTTGTTAATGGCATCTAAGTCGTTCCAACACTTAGTTGCTCGAAATTTAAAAGTCCTTTGCCCAGATCTCGTTTTGGAAAAAAGTATGTCTAATTAATTCACATTGTAGGTTACGCTATCGTGGATACTGGAACGGGTAAAAAATTACTGATATATATCGGCTTTGTGAATCTTGGTGTCATGAATACCATTACGATATTTAAACAATGTTAATAAGTCTGTAACTTAATCCTAATGCAAAGTTTTGCACTAGCTAATTGTAGTTTTTTAATGTTGATGATTCGGACGTGTTGGCCCATACTGTGAAACATTAAAATAATTTACTTTAAACCAGTGACTCTATACTTCAAGATTTCTTCATTAAAACACTCTGACATAACTTCGACATGCATGTTGATACCAACAAGGTTATATGTTCATCATATGATAGTACATCATGATCAAGGACAACACCATTTAGCGGAAACGACGACATTTAAATTCTCACTCTATAGTTTCAATGCGTTGCGGTTGTCTTGTTCCAGTTATCAAGTACTAGTATTTAGTTTTACCGGGGTAAACTGGAAGTCTAATTCACAGCACCAACGTGCGACCTCTAGCAGGTTTTGTCTCATCGTTCCTAAAGCTAAGTATGTGATGTGCCTACATTGGAAAATTTATGTAACAGGATTCTATGATCGATGCTATCAAAAGCCTTCGAAAGGTCTAATGCCGTTAAGATTTTTTTACCTATTGTTTACAGAATCGTATCGGTTACGCAAAGATAAAGGCCATGTGGACAAACATCATTTGGTCATAAATGCAGCAGAGAATGCCAGATCTGCTGTATTAATACTATTCAGCTTGTCAAAGTGCAAAGTGGTTCTGCTCTATGGGCTGGCTTTGAGAGGTCTTGGACGTTATTTCATATTTGAATTTCGCTAATGGCAATGCTACAAAACGATTAATTTACATTCAAAGTAAGGAGTATGTCTTTTTCCCAATCTCATTCAGGACACATGAATTTTGATAGGAACTTTCAGAGACATGGCACGAGTAAGATGATTGAGATATCATGCACCATTACAATCATGGTAGAAACTTACAAATGTGTCTTGAAATGTGTCCCCCGGTTCTTTAGTTGACCTCATCTTGAATGACTTGATCAATACTTGTTACTGACGGGTAATAATAAAAGCTCTGCAACACAATAACAAATCAGATTTAGTGTTTCAGTGTAACTATCCAATCAAATTACAGGAGAAAATGGCACAAAATTTTATTATTTTGAATTTTTAAATGCCCCGCAAAATGTCTAGACAAAAATGAAGGTTACTCGCATTTTACACCGTTTACGGTTCTTTCAGCCAATAAATCGTTTTGAATTTGTATGATTTTTTGTATGATTTTAAAATGAATATAAAGAGGAAATTCCACTTCGTGTCGTGCAATTTTGGTGTGAAATCAAACTTGTGATCACAAATCAATTTTGCAATCACGCGTTTGATTTCACACCAAATTGCACTCCACTCAGTGCAATTACCATCATTAATACTACACTTACACAGAACTCTGAAGTTATTCCAACTATTCACGTTCAGTTAGGATGTTTATAAAACTACTTAGTGTTTTAAAGCCTGCTTCGACTTTGATGAACATTTGAAACCTACATTTGAAATATGCATACAATCCAGAGCAGGGAATTTTTACACTCCTCTTTATATCAGGCAGGTTAAGCTGTCAGCTTTGGTGTCAGTTGGTTGGAATAATTCAAGTGATCGCAGAGATTCTGATGACTAGTTTTGAATTTGTAATAAACATGGCGTAGCCAGCCTGACAATCATTGTTTTCACAGTCAATGAACACCAAAATATTAGCACAGCATGACTAAATAAGCGGGATGACTGCGCTACTAAATGTATTATTTTAAGAATTGATAGGCTGATTTTAAATGGCATTTCTTTTTCGAATTCCGTGTTAAATATTTAAAAAAAAAAGTTTTTTGTCTTTTAATGAAGACAATTTGTCTTCATTAAACGAGAGTTAGACAATTAAAATTAGTTACGCACTTCCGGCTGTAATGCAAAATTATACAAAATTTGCCAACTTCACATGGCTATATTTTCCGTATTTTACAACGTTTAACAGCAAGACTTGACAGTTTAACTAATTTTAGAATGTGTTCTTTCCAAAAATGGCATTTTTCTACAGACCAGACAAAATTGATCTATAGCACATACAACCATTGAAAAATATATATATACCGCATAAATTATAATATAGATTATAATAACTATTGATTTACTTCTTAGCGTACTATAGAATCCTACCAATATTTAATATATCTCATGCACTAAAAGAAATGATACTATCATTCATCATTACCAAGGTTGTTTGCAGCCTAATCTTCTTCGTCGCATGCGAAATTTTCAAACTTTGTAAAGAAAAATAATACAGGTGTAGTTCGTGCGTTTTATATTTCGCCGCTTTTTTAATATTTGACTGTTGATTTCGTACCTTGGATATTCATGTCCCGCAAATTTCGTTCCTTGAACTTGTGGGCCAACCACAATTGCCAACCACCGCAATTTCAAGAGCATCTACAGCTGCGACGTCCGGTGTCAAGATGACCGGAACCTTCCTGTTTTTTTATCAAACATTAGAATTAAAATAACTGTCAGTGAAAAGCTGTATACATGCATATCTCCCTATTTGTCAAATGTTAGTAGGTAGCCCCCCCCATCCAGCGAGGAAAACACGCAACGCGTGGACCCCACGCGGGATGTCGGAAACTGTCGGATTTTCCCGAAGAGGTGCGTGGTCTCCACGCGCGAGTAGAATAGTGCGCGAGGGGCGGGGTAAACAATAAAGCGTAAATACGCATAATAGCGTAAATACGCATATTAGCATAAATACGCAGGATATGTTTGACAGCAGTTTGCTCAAATTACACAAATGCCGGGTTATTTATCACACAGTAAGAATTTGCGAAGAGTATATTTTATTTTACTACTGAGAATTACACATTTGTATGTTCATTTTAAGAGTTCATTTCTTAAATATTCTTTGTATGCTTTGTGATGATTGTTCTCATCACTTGTGAACTGTTCTCCTGTTGTTTTAACCGTGTACTTAAAGATAGGCGGGTTACAAAAAAAGGCAACGACACCTGACTCTAGTGGATCAGTTTGGTATGAATCTCCTTTCCAATAAGACAGCTGGTTCAATGCACTTTGAACTTTAGGATCTTTTACGTTCATTAAGGACTCGATCAGTATAAAATCTGGATCTTTCGTAAGTTGTTTCCAGTGCTGAGATACATCATCATACCACTTAAGGTCTAAGACTCTTGTTACTTCAACAAACTCACTCCATATCATGCATGTATTGTTAACTTGCTCTATGGCTTCGAAACCATACAACTGCCATGTCTCGTACTCATCTAACATTAAACAGTCTTGATCTCTTACTTTACAACCACAGCAAAGTTTACTGCGCATTCTTTGAACCTCGCGTTCTACAACATTGGCATACATTACTTCTAGCAAATGGAATACCTTGTTCGAACTTTCCATCGTCAAAGTTTGTGTTCAACTGAATTCAAAGTTTTCTCACAACACAATCTGACTAAGATATGCAAGGTCAGACGTCTGAGGAGACATCTAAGATTGTCATCCGATGATCTTATTGGTTTTCAGTGTTGTCTTAGAGTATAAATTTGGGGCATAAACGCTGGATATCATCATTGCATGTTTACGAGTTTCACTTGGAAGAGCTTGTGTGATATATTTTAAGTCAAGATTAAGCGATGAGGTGCTTACACGGGGAGCCTGCTTCTACTGCGACAACGAAGAACGGTTCGTTTTGGTTCTGTGGTCAAAGTCCTAGTTGTAATTTCTTTTGCACGGAAGACGATGGATATCTATTTGAGAAAGCCATTGCTGCTTGGAGAGTTACGAATCAATCACAGCCGCAATGTGACACACATAAAAAACCCACAAAAATGCGTGTGGTTAAAGATTTAATGAAAGGAAGTTTTGGAAGACCGTTTTTTGTATGCTCTGACAAGAAGGATCCATGTTCCTTTTGGACGTGGGGTGATGTGAAGCCAACAACGAAACCGTCCTGTCATCATGGGCTATCGTGTACATTACAAAAGGTGAAGAAAGAAGGCATCAATAAAGATCGTATGTTCTTTTGCTGCCCCAATGGGGAGAAGGACTCGTGTCGATTTTTTGAATGGGTACCCGAAGAACAAATCGGTGTTGAAGAACCGTTCATACCATTATATTACCGAGATCTTTATCCTCAGTAGAACTGAAACGTTTATATAAAAACTTTATAGACACTTTATTTTTGTTGACATAAATATAATGTTTTACACCCATCTGTATTCATTTGTGATTTCGCGCTGCTAATAATGGAGGTGATCTTAGACGAGCTGCAAAAGAATAACGTCGACATTAATATGAAAACGTTAACTCATCATATCAATTATTTACTTGTGCAACACAAGTCTACATACCAATCGGCGGTTTTAAATTCTTCTGATTTGGTAGTTATTTTTTATGAAATCAATGTGAGAAACTTTGGTCGCGCAATGGCCTACTTAGCATTGGTTTCCTTGATGAAAAACTCCGAGGAGGTCACGCGTGGAGCCGTAAGGCTCGTTGCTACACGACTTCAGAGCCTCGATTTTGAGGAGTTTAAGGTCAAACAGAGCCTTTTCGACCGAATGATTTCTTTTATCAAACACATTTTCTCTCTATAAAACACATGGACATGTATCATGAAATTCATTGTGTGTGTATCCGCGATGGATGTGCGATTTAAAACGCCTGCAAACTTTTATGTTTGTGGACAAAGCCAAAGTGGGAAATCTTATTTGGTTCGAAACATGTTGCATAACTTAGAAGAACTTTTCAATCCAGTTCCAACCAATATAATATACTGCTACGGTATATATCAGCAAGAATTTGAACAGCTGTTGCAAAAGTTTCCTAATCTTACACTAGTAGAGGGGTTTCCGGACGATTTATACGATTTGGTAAAAGGACACGATAACTCTCTTGTCGTACTAGATGATCTGATGTCTCAATGTTCCAACGATCAACGGGTAGCAGATTTATTTACGCGTGGCTCTCATCATCGGGGTATATCCGTTCTCTACCTTACGCAGAACTTGTTCCCACCAGGAAAGTTATCACGACGATAAGTTTGAATTCCCACTACATGCTAATATTCCGAAATCCACGTGACTCGCTCGGTATTGCAACACTAGCAAAACAGATGTTTCCTAATAACATGAATTATCTTTTGGAGGCTTTCCATGATGCTACAAATAAGCCTTATGGTTATCTAATGGTTGATTGTCATCAGTTGACGCCGGAGAATATGCGTCTCAGAACATCTATTCTTCCTGGAGAAAGACAAGTCGTCTACGTGAAACGTACTTAAGTTACGCGCGTTGACCAACGGCTATCAGTATAAACATGTCGAAGCGCATGAAAGAAAGTCTTCCGTATCTTCAAGTTATGGTAAAGTCTAAACCTAAGTTGCGTAAACTGCTTATCGAACATTGTCCTGCAGATGTCATCACAGCTATTTGCGAATGCTCTTTGAATCTACTTAAAGGTATTATTCCACTAACACCAATTCAAAAGCGACGTTTAGTGCGCTACAGGACACATCTCCGTGCGTTGGCAAATAAGAAAGTGTCAAGAAAACGAAAGAAGCAATATATTAATCAAAAAGGTGGGAATTTACTTACAGCTCTTTTGCCACCGGTCCTAAGTGTCCTCGGAAGTTTGTTAGCAAAATGAAGCATGCAAAACGAATGATACTGGTCCCCGAGGACGTGTTTGCTAGATACGAACAAAAGCAAAAAATTGAAACGTCGCCAATTGTAAGAAACATGATTAAGACAGATGGAGAAATGTCAGATATTCTTCAACGCTCTGATATTGATGATGCGCAAAAACAGAAACTATACTATGCCAATCTGGAACGTTTTATGAATCTCAGGCAACAAAAGGATGAGGAGATCCCAACTGTTAGGTTGGCAATGGAAACAAAATCCGAAAAAGACGACGGGGCAAACGAAATTAACCCCCTGCCCGATTCCGTGATTGTAGATAATATACCCAAGACAATGCGTTTAAGAGCGACAGCATTGTTGAACCGTTTGAAAACGAGACCTGACGTTATTTCTTGGGATAAGACTGGAGAAGTTACCTTGGACGGTAAAAAGGTTCCACGTTCAAACATTTCTGATTTGATCAGCGACGCTATGAGAAGAAGAAAGAATTTTAATCCTAAAGGATCGAAAGAATTTTTTACTGTTTTGTCCAAGATGAACATACCTACAGACATTGTGAGAAATGAGGAAAGGTTAAAACAAATGGATACTCTGTCTGCAGGAGGAGAATCCGTTGTCAGTACACCCAAACGATCAAGCCCATCATCAGCTTATTTTGAAAGACTGTTGAAGAGACATGATACACAGGAAAAAACTCCCAAACAATGGATTAAATATTGAATTTTGTAACTGCATGTTCTAATGAATAAATAAATGGTTATTTTCCAACCCGTTTTAGTTTTTTTTCACACACACACACACATCTACACACACGTTGATTTCTTTTTGACAACATTTATTTAAACAACTTTTTACTTTGTTGTTCTACAGCATTTGATTCTTTCAACATTACTTTAAAATTATTTTTAACAAAATGAGATACTTTTTCATCATTTAACAATGTATTTTTACTAAATAACTGAACAATCTTATTCATGCTATGTCCACGTGCCCTATGACTTAGATAGAATATGCAATATTGGCCACAAACATCCGACCAATTGCTTTGCAGTTTGCGATTGTTAAATTCATAAGAATATCCCTTGAAAATGTTCCCAAATGAGTAGAATTCCGGCGGCTGCCCATAACTGTCAAAAAATTCTCCGTTATGTTCTGATGGAAAGTAAAAGGCCACCCAATGCGTTCCAGGTTCAGTGCTTGGATCTGTGTTTGCAACAAAACCGCAAGGATAATTTTCAATTTTTTCAGGTAATTTGTCACTTGGAAACACACCGCAAAATTTTTTACTTGTCAAAGAGTCTTGTTCCAATGCGCGGGCTATCTGTCCGGTATTCATCTAGCCGGTATAGTCATATATGACGTTTCTCTCACCATCAATCTGTATCAGGTTTTCGAATTCTGCATAACAGACAAGACTCACAGCTGCTGCCGGCGCACGAGAGAACTTGACGTCAACTGCGAAATTTCCTTTCTGAACAGCATTAAAGTGCGTTGAACTACCACACATGTCTGGCGTCAGATCCAATGCAAAAAGCACGTTTCCTCCTATGTATTCATCGCGTGAGATATCATTTCCAGTGTTGTAGTTCATCTTTCCCGTACCAGAGAACATTGTGTAAAATGCTTCAATATATCTAGGATTTGCACCGGCAAAGGAAAGTTGCATACCTTTCAAGGGTACTTCTTCGCCATTCACAGACGCTCCAATAAACGACATGTTGAAATGTTGAAAGTTGAATGGATTTTGTTTGTACGCGCCATTGAATCCCGCACTTTCGACCAAGCCACAAACAAATGATTTCGGGACAAGTCCGTTGAAAATGTTATCTTTTCTTAAGGGATTTCCAGCTGGAATAATGAAACTTTTACATTCAACACGACGGATAGGATAGATAGCAGGACCTTTTTTCAATGCAATCTCATGGGCCATGGAAATGGTTGGGCTAATTTTCACCTTACGTATTTTCAGATAAACATCCATCAATTTTACTCTGTAATCCGCATCATCTTCAGAAGCCATCAAACAAAACTCGTTAATATTGCGATTCAGAATAACTTTTAGGTCTACAAAGCTTAACAGGAGACGTTCTGAAAAGAACACATCACTAAATATAGGTCCAGCCATTTCAATCGTTTTACTCTGGCTGCTGAATTCATATCTCTTTTTAAGACCATAGTTGGTGTTAGCAGCAACCGCTATTGCAGGATTGGACACATCAAATTTTCCTGCTGTATCTTTATAAAACAAAGCCGCGGTGAGTTGGGATTGCTTAGCACCAATCCCGAAATTAAGCAGCGTCTCCAAATACGCACGGTATGCATACGTTCCAGTAGCTTGTGTCACTTGCTTTTCTTTCAAAAAGACGTCAACTTGTTTGAAAAGGCTGTGCAGAAAATTGTTTACAACTCCGACTCTTTCGTCTGCGTCAAGATCTTGCCCATTAGCCTTTGTCACTTTTGCTCTCACTACAAGAATCGTTTTCGACAAGTCAACGTAATCATCAGTTCCTGGACACAGAAATGTGATTGGACCACCGTCTTCTACACTGGATACCGGTTGATGATCGATCCAATGTCCTTTTTCCAATCCAACTTGTGTTGATGGTATTCCAAATAAATCAAGTTCACTTTTCATTCCTTCAGGAGATTTTGAATGCACAAAATTCATGTTTAACCAAATATATCTTCTGCACGAGTTGTTCTCCGCTTCTTGGTCTGTCTGCTTCTGGCTGTGGATGTTGATGCTTTTCTCTTTTTAGTCGTTTTGCGTCTCTTGGGACGACTTTTCCTGTTAATTGATGCGTTTCTCTTTGTTTTCCGTTTTCCACTTCCTGTTTGAGCGTACGTTTTATTCGATTAACGGCTTTTCCCTTTGCGATGTTTACGGCTTCACGCCCTCGACTTTTTATCGCTGTCTTCAGATTTTTCCCCGAGGCAACGTCTCCTAATAGATTAGCTCCAGTATTCAGGGCAATGTTACCAAGAGCTTTTGCTCCACTTTTTACAATTGGCATGACTGCCCTGGCAACACTTTTAAACAGACCACCTAGTCCAAAACCCATTTGTCCATGACCCATTTGCCATGGTCTGCCTCTGAAAACAGACATACCACGCCCTTGTTGTTGATCAAGATAGTAACGAATGTACGGGTTACTCATTTTTAGAAATAACTGTGCTGTCTGAGATGTAGTGTTATCACCACCTTCCCGCGTTCAAATGGCACGGGATCGCCTGTGTCGTTCCTTAAAAGAATCTCCACGTCCTCAAATGATTTAGTTTGGACTGGCACATATTGTATGTTTGTGAACGTCTTGGTAATGATGTCCCCAGACTTTCCCTCGACTGGAATGCTTCGGAGTAACTTTGCGTTTGTATCACCGACAATCTGAGGTTGAACAACGTCACAATAAATGTATATTGTTGACATATCAAACAAGTCTGCAACATAAGGACTAGTGGTCGTTTTTGTTAATTTTACTTCCTTTCCCCCAAATCCTAAGATAATAGACATTCTTCCTGCCAAAACCAACCGATAGCCACTTTTTAGGTGAACTGTCACTTTTCCGGTTACGGCATTGAACGTTAAATTGATGTTATCGTTACGGGTCTCTTTTTTCAGAGTTTTGTTGGTGGCTTTGAGAAGGTCTTGCATTGTTTTGTAGTAACCATATTCTACAGATGCCGCCAAATAAAATCCTTTGCCGTCATCCCAATATATATTATTATCATGTTTCTGAAGAGTATACCATGTGTTTGGATAAGAAACGGAGTACAAACCAACTTCCCAATCACCATTCAAATCAACAGGTTGTGGTAATTTAACACGGTAACTGGTAGTTTTGTTATCGGGAAAGATATTTAAGGATGCATTGCTGGGAAGCGTAAGATAAAAATGTGCTCTGCTCATCGTGAAATACAAATGAATATAACAACGAAAGTACACGTTTAAAGGTTTTTATTTATTTCTGAAGCGGGTACCCATGAATTAAACTTGTTCGGGTACCCTAACCATTTTACAAAGTATTGTATATTATCACCCCTCCCACGTTTCTTAAGAATCTTTTCGACTTCGTACACGTCGTCACGTTTGACGACCTTTTGCAATTCCTTATCATAGAACGTTCCATCGAGTTCCTCATCGTCATAATCTTTTAGCTTATATACCGGAGGATCGCGAGGAATTTGCTTACTTATAGTAAATATTTCTTTGGAAAAATTTGGTAAGTAACCTTTCTCAAACTTTCGTTTTAATTTGCTAATTCTAACTTGATCACCAATGTTAAATTTGTACTTTACATTTTTTCCAACATTATGATCGTCATACAAAGTATGCCATACTTTCTTTTCATTTTCAATGCTAACATCCGCAGGCTTCATCTTAATGCTACGATGAACACTATGATTGTAAGAATAAACTAAATCTGGCAACATGGCAATGTATCTCATGGTTTTCTTTGCTGTAAAATACCGCCACATTTTTGTTTTCAAAGTACGAATCAAGCGTTCTACGATTGATGCTTTGGTCTCGTTATACGTATTGTACAACTGGATATCTTCTTCTTTCATCAAGCCTCGAAAATGTCTGTTTAAAAACTCCGTTCCTTGGTCAGTCATAATTTTTTCAGGTTTACGTCCAGAGAGAAGTTTGAAAGCTTCCTCCTGTTTATTTTTCAACGGAATCACCCAGGCGTATTTGGAGAGGACATCAATACATACGAGAAGATATCGATATCCATCATTAAATTTCTGTAGGGATTGTAAATCTGCCAAATCCATCTGCCAAAACTGATCAATATTACCCGTAATTACGCGACCTCGTTTAAAATTACGACGAACAGGTTTATGTAAAGTGTATGTGTCCTGTTCCATTAACCATTGCTTGATTTTCTTACGGCTTATTCTAAATTTTCCTTCTTTTTTAACGTCTTTATATAAACGATCCACTCCACCAAACCCTCCAGATCGTTTAGGATCATAATAAACGCTAGATAAGTATTCGTTCATCAGGCGTGAAATGAGGGTTTGACTTTTACTCTTCGGCGTTTTCAATACTTTCATGCGTCTCACTGTGCAATTGAACAATGTCTTGTTCCGCGTTGTCAACCGGCTTGTAGTTTTTATTATTTAAATGCCCCTCAAGATTAAGATCGTTGCGACCGAAACTTATGCCCAATCTAAACATCTTTTGTCTGTTGTGATCTTTGTTGATCTTAGGACTTTTTCTAAAGGAATTACCCATGTTCACACTACGGCTCTTGCTGAGGCACTGAATATGTCGACGTTGTACTTGTTGTATAAACATTTGCACATTAAAAAACGTCAAACCTGTCTGGAGAGCCGTGAAAAGAGATTCTCCATACAAACCTCTGGACATTGACAACAAACGTTTATGTTACGTCATCGCTGAGACGTATCCAAACTGCTAAAGTGTTACGCAAAGAGATATCAATTATTCTACTAGTGGTTGCAAATTGTGATGGTTGTATTATGGAAAATTTATCTCAGACAAATCATCAATGTATCACTATGGAAAAAGACGAACAGTTATGCATGTATTTTGACGAGGCGTTGTCAAAAATCTCGGAGACAAAGGTCACGGAGGCTTTTATCGAAACCCTAACGGACATTAAACCCTGTGTAGACAGTTCGGAACTGCTCAAATATACGCGTGGTAATTGGAGAAGTAATTTTTGTGCAGATCGAAGACGGGTGCTAAAAGAAGAGACTTTTCGGTTTTTGTAATGAGTGCGTTTACTGTAATCGCGAAAATCATATGTATAAAATGACATGATTTTAAACCGAATCCTCAGTTTGCAATATGCCGGCCAAGTGTGCACACAAAACGATGTCTCCTAAAGCATCTTCAAAGAAAGAGGTTTTACGCTCGAAATCAACTGGGGTAAATGATCTACGTAAAAGGGCTATTAAAAAGAAGAAAAATGTTAAAGACGAGAGAAAAGCCAAACTGCACAAGATCAGGAAACTCAAGCTCAAGCGAAGGACTAACCATACTACGATACACAAACGAATTAATCTGGTGGTTATCCGAAAAGCAGGGGACACGTTTAAGTGTAAAATAATCGAGAAAAAAATACTCTCATAATAAGACAGTAAATCTGCCAGACTTTATTTTTGACGTTTATTTAAACATAAAACACATAAAGACAATATAGAATATATGCAGTTAGAATCCGTATGGAAGTGTTTTGTACTCATCAATAATAACACGTTTGTCATAAACAATACGGTAGTCCTTTTTCATGCGTTTGGTTTCAATTTCTTTTGTTTTGGTGTTGCGAGTAATCTTGAATGGGATATCTACGGATACTTGCCCTGCGACATTACATTTTGCATGAAGGTACACCAAAGCACGAATCACCTCAAAGTTAACGTTTTGCCTAGCGGTGCAATTCAATGTAATACCGCGTATCTTTGTCTCAACTTTGTTCGAATTTGTGCGGTAACAGTAATTCTTCGGGCCTCCGGAAATGAACGTGGTGATGTAGTCTCCTTTTAATTCATCTGTAAGTTCACCGAGGTACGGACCCGTAGGAGGCTCTGGATCACCAGGTTGACTGACAAATATCACTGAGTCAGTATCGTAATACAGAACTCTTTCTTGAAGTTGATCCAGAACATCGTAGAGTTTGAGGCGAGCGTAGGCAGTGGTGAAAGCAGCGATGACAACATTCGTTTTTGAATTTGGTGCGATGAAATTTTCGTTGTTTTCATAGTGGATTTCAATCACTTCATCATTGACGAAATTTGCGTCAAGAACATTGATTTCATCTGAGGTTAGGTAGTCAAAGTAAACTTGGGGGTTTGCGATTAATTCTACCTTTGACATGTTGGGACGTTGTGCAAACTTGCCTAAAAATATATGAGACAAAATAGGTTACTGATCTAAAAAAAGAGAAAAAAAATCCTTTAGAGGGTACGGCAAAGCTTGTAGCAATATACTCACCCCAAAATGAGTTAAGCATCAGTTTTGACAATGCACGCAGCCCTGGATTATGCTCGATTTTGCACGGATCCAAACGGATTCCTTCTTGCTCGTAGTACTCCTCAACATAAAGGCGTCTCTGTTCCTCTGTGGTGCAATTCTTTGGGTAACCACTCGCTTCTTGTTTGATTTTCAGAAACGTATTGATATAATCTTTAAACAGTTCATCAGATTGTTGTGGGAAATGCCATACTTCGTGGAGTTTCAGAATTACGTAACCTTTCTCCAAGGCTTTCTCCAACTCCACACTGCACCAGGTTCCTTGAATAGCTCTTTCTGTGTCGGAATGGGTGCATGGGGATTGATTACACGTATCAGCACATAACTTGCATAAAGGGAACATCAACTTCCCCTGGGTACGATAAGGCAGGACAGGGTGGAAGAGACCATGAGGTGGCAAAACTGTACATTTGATCAACCCAAAGTAATTGGAGATATCTTCGTCAAAATTTTCTGTGATGATATGAGGATGACCGACGACTGTTCGCGTCATTTTATTTGCCCAGGGATATAGGCTCGTGAAATCTAAATAGCTGACGTCATCATGACGTCATAATAAAAAGTCGTTAATAGTTGTACAATAAAGTTGTATATTTAATTTGTACTTCACTCAAAGATTTATACTACACCTTATTTTTTCGTCATCCTTACACTCGTGAAATAGTTTGGCAGCGTTGGTTCGACCACCAAAGAAGGCATCACGAGGTTCCAAAGGATCAATTAAGTCATAACTGTCAAAGTAACTTTTCATATTTTCGCTGCATTCTAATTCTTGCGTGATGTCACACTCCCATACTTCGATAACATTGAAGCCCTGATCTCGGAGGTAACACGTCTTTTCCATTGTAGCTTGATGCAGGTCATGCATGGTTTTACCACTAACACTGTTCACCGTATCTCTGGCATAACATTTTAAACATCCTGCAAAAGTTTAATAAACAAAATATTAGACAAGAACGTTAAAAGAGAGAGTAATGTTAACAACATACCGTGCCAAAAGCAACCGTTGATTTCATAGGCTGTGTTGGTCTCTTCATGATACCCATCCAGTAGATAAGTACCAACACGTTTCTCACCAGCGTTGCGGGCATGTTGGATGTAAATATCACTCTTTTCGGCAGTATAGGTTAGCCACTTTAGAGCCAGGATCGATTGCTTGTCTTTCGGACGATAACCGTGAGGTGGGATGATGGCAATAGTGTTTTCTTTCAGAAAATTCTTTCGAAACACCAAATTGCATGCTGATGCAATGGTGAGACATTTCTCAAACGGATCGATATCTGTAACATCACGAAACAGTTCGCGAAACTCAAGGCAACAACGCCGTAGAATATCGACATCTGAACGACAGTAGGTTTGAATTTCTTGCTGGAAATTGAACACGTAATTGTTTTCTTTCATATTACCGTGCCATTCTAAAAACGTCTCTTTTTCATCAGGACTCATTCCGTCAGGATTGTAAAATGGACTTGGAGGTATTGGGCCAACGTAATTCTCATTCTCCTTTTTGTTGAAAAGGTGAGGGAAATAACCTTTTGCAAGCTCATTGAGACCAAAGGTTTTCGGAAAATCAGCAAGTCTCATGGGTATGAAACTGAGAGAGTCTATGAATTTAATCTTGAACAACGGGACATTCAATGTAAGGATTTTGGCACCTCTTGTGATGAGATCGAAAATCACGCCGTTTTGGTGTAGGAATTGCTGAATAAAATACCCGTCGTAACCCTGAAAATTATGTGCTACTACAATGCAGTTCGCATGTTCCTTGGTAAATAACCACTCGCAAAACTCATTTCTTGTATTATCGCCTTTAAATACGCATTCGTTTCCCGCTTCGTTTTGCACTATGCATAGGTTGGGTTCGTGATTTCCGTTTTCTTGTCGACATTCAAAGTCAAAGAATAGGAGTTGATTGTACCCGCTTTGAGGTGAGTGGCTCTCGTCGTTTGCCTCATCATCGTGAAGGTTCGCTTCATCGTTTATGTCTCTGGTGTTTACCTCTCTGACGGGTTGCATATAACATTGATGATTTTCAGCTTGCACATAGGTATTGCAGGTAGAGCAACGAGTTTCACCGCAGTGATGCAAATCACGCCTCAGCCTACTCCGTTTTACAACAAGATCACAATGAAGACACTTAACCAAAGAATCACACACTGATTTTGCGTTGCCTACAGATTGCTTATGTCGGTTAAAACACTCCTGACTTTTAAAAACACGCATGCAACAAGCACAGGGAACCCACGAAACAATTGGACAATTTGAAAAATAGCACAATTTACACGAGTCAGGACATGAGTGATCAGTCAATTTATCGTACCCCTTTTTACAGGTATGGCAATACTTTTTCCGAGCAAAAAATGCCGGCATGCTTGTGATTACATCGTAATGGTTATTGTGCAAAAACAAATAAATCCGTTTGTCTTTCTCGGGACCGGAATAGATTATGGTATTTTGATGCTCCTTCGAAACGATATTGATCTGATAATCAGACAAATAGGTTTGAAATTGTTTCACCTCATCTAAACCACATGCGTCAATTGGGACTCCAGCTTTTTCATGCAATTCGTACGCCAATTGTGTTTGCATTGGCCAGCGATGATCGACTATACTTTTATAACGATTATCGTTTTCAATTTTGGCGATAGAAACAACTAATCCCCTAGCTAAACAAATGTTATCTGTGTTTTGAATTCGAATAATTGAACCTTTCCGGTCTAAATGCTTTTCCAAATTAATTTCACTACGTTTTGAACCGGTACCCCCATTCGGCATTTCAACATGAACTAAATTGAGATTAACACTATCATTCAAACGAAATTCCCGATTAGATTGAACGACACGCTCAAATTCAGCTAAAACGCGTTCGGTCGTAAGACGAGAACGTGACATGAATGGAAGAGAAATAGGAGTCTCAAGCTGAGGCGATTGCAACACAAAACGAACTTGATCGTGCTCTGGAATATCCTGAGTAATGGACCTGAGCAAGCCCCCAAATATGTCATGCAGCTGATTATGAAATTGATAGAGTTCCAAATTAGCAAAGGTATCCTTAAATTGCACAGCGTAATCGACACCACTGGTTTTAAACTTTTTAACATATACTTGCTTCACATTTGTCAGGGTAAAATAATTACTGTCGCTAACCTCGTTTGATGTGCTCGCGCCCTCATTCATTACGTCGACGGCTCTTTTCTGTCCGCGACCAGTCTGTGACAAAGATCTGTCATCTTGCCAATTTGGCAACACGTTTCCTCCTTGTTCAAGCGTATCGGTAACCCTGAAGCAAGCTCCCCAATGTCACTTTGTGATAATAAATCGTCGTCTTGCCAATCCTCCAAAAATCGTTGGCGTTGTTCTAGGGTCCAAGAATCTGTAAGATCCGCAGCGATACCGAGACGAACATTTTCCACCCTCCATCGCATCAAGCGACTTAAAATGTCGGCCTTCTTTTTAGAAAGTATTTCCTTCTCAACATCAGTCAAGATATAACGTCTTTCCAACTCCGAAAGTTGACCAACCGTTTGACTCTCGTATATTTATCTATCACATTCATATCTAAACAGAAAAACAAGCGGTGTGGTTTGACGAAACAATCTTTAATTGAGTGATTTACAACGTTAAATGCAAGAAGATAAAAAACGCAAAAAGGGAAGACTCATACCTTTAGATGTAAACCGAAAACTCTCAACGTCCTCTTCCTAATATTGTGTAACTGATAATTTTGCCTTTATTGTAACCTAAATTTATACTCTCACGATCATGCAGTTTTAAACGTCAGCAGTTTGTTTGTACATAATATCACAGGAATGCGTACATACGCACACACCCTGACACCTAAGGCGCTTGATAATTCATATGATGAACAACAGTCATGTATCTTTAATTTAATGCGTAAATACGCTGTCACTCGTGCAGAATATCTGTTCATGTAAATCATCATTGCCATGCGTAAATACGCTTAAAATATAATAACTATTTCGTGATGCAAATGTTTTTGATTCTACACGATTAAATCGTGTCGTACGGGATGTATGGTCACATAAACCCCCTATTTTATATACCGATTGAATGCATAGGAAGTTAAAGAAAGACTTTATAGCTCATTAATATTAGTTTGGGCATATTTAGATTCGGCATATATACGACATCTGAGGCGCCGTTAACAAGCGTGGTACCGATTTGCATAAAATCATACCATTCTTATCAAATTAATGAGCATTTGTTAACAATGGTTGCATAATCCCCACGCGTATAAAAATAGTTGGTAAAATCAACCAAGTCAAAGCAAAATGAACCGCAAACAAAAAGAGGCCGAAAGATCGAGAAAAAACTACCACAAAAAGAAAGAAAAGCTGCAGAAATACGTAGACTTCTACATATATATGATGAGGGAGAACATCGATTTGGTGCTTCAATTTGAGGGAATCAAAGTTCATGGTACTCCTGAACAGAGGTTTTGGGACGCCATCGAGAACTTCGATATATCATTCTTGGACGAACAGTAAAAAAATGAAAGTAAAATGAAGTAATACAAGTATAATAATATAGACGGTTCATAACATTTAGCGTAGTAAAATTAAATGAAAAATGTCAATTCAGTCACATTGTCCTCACTTAATGATCATTAATCCAGTAAGAGAGATAATTAAAATGGGCTGGTATTCAGAATAGCCTGAACTTCGCCTCAAACCCATCAGAAAGTTAAGAGTTGCCTCACGGTCTCTCTTGAGGTTTTCAAAATGTTTTGCTGCGTACTCGTTATAATCCAATCTCATCACACGGATAGCCTCAATAAATTCTCTCCAAAGTATTCCGCGCCGAAACACCTGGTCAACGGCCTCCAAACCATGCATCTCCCATCTTTCTTCTTCCGACAACATTATACATTCGTGTCTCCTCTGACTAGGACTATCGAACTCACAACCTCTACATCTCTCTTTGCAAACTTTTCCAACCTCGCTGGAAACAGCCTCTGCAAATATCGCGTCCATCAAATGACATAAGTTCCTAACTTCCGACGGCTCAAATTCACCCATAGTTAAACCGCCCGCGCCGAATATCTGTTCTTTTCCTTGGGAAGAATTCATGATAAACATCGAAATGAAATTGCACGAAAAACCATATCCTTTATTTATACCGTTAAAAAATATTTATATCTTTTAAGTCCAACCCTACGTGTTTACGCCACTCTCTCGGTAAAGTCCAACCCTACGTACTTACGCTATCTTCTGGGTAAAGTCCGACTCTACATAGTCCCACTCTGCGTATTTACGCACTATTACCCCTCGTGAACTTCCTGTATTGCATTCACGCGTACCCCTAGTTATGTTCTATAAAAGTCGGGTTAAAACTGTGCTAAATCGTTCGCTATGGCTCGCCAAAATGATATCGTCGCTGTCATGGACATGGACGGCTTTCGAGTTGGAAGTGAATTTCGCTGCAAGGAGCTTGGTATGATCAAAGTGGGAGATACCTACGGGCAATCCTTTTTCTTCGATATTGGGCTTCGTTGGTCGGACCTAACCGAAAAAGACCAGAAGGCGTGCAAGTTCGTGCAAAAGAAAATTCATAAACTGCCGTTTGGGGTACCGCGGGGTGTCAAGACATTCGATATCTCGCAATTAGAAGCAATCGTGGAGAACTTCTACAGAAGAATAAGAAAAAATCCAAACTCCGCGATTGCCTACAAAGGCGCGGATAATTGAAAGGGATCTCTTAACAAAACTAAGAATCCCTTCAATTAATTTGGAATGCCTTGGTTGTCCCAAGGCAGATAAATTATTCGATCAGCTTGGTTGGTTGGAGACCTGCGGGAACCATTTGGATGCCTGGGCGTATCAGCACTGCGCAAAAGTTGAGGTTGAGGCCTTCGCGATGTGGTTGGAGAAGACGTAACGCAAGAAATAAAAAAAAACGGTTTGTAAACGAAATTTCGATTCTATTGAGAACCTTATTTTAATCATAAAAACAATATTTTCTTCATCACTGAACTAAATCGTTACTCTTCCTCATACGTATTTCTAGTGTATCGTTTGTTTTACCATATGGATACCTATCTTAGATGAAAGTCAAGCGGTTTATTCGAATGATTTGGCGTGCGTCTCAGTGATATTAAACCCCGTGTTAGTGCGAATGAAATGCACAAGTACACACGCATCGATTGAAAGAACCACGCTCCGTACCGATCATAGACAAGAATTGAAGCGAAGAGTGTCTTATTTGCTGTAAAAATGAAAGTAGCTGACTTAATCTTTTATTGTGGAGAAGATGCTGTGCACCCAATTATCTACATGCTCTTATCCAGCTTTGAAAACAAAATCTTATCCACGCTGGTTGAAGACGAAAACGAATGGAAGATTGTTTTTGATGAAAGACAAACATTTAAATAAAGAGTTTGTTCGAAAGTTATGGTGTGCATGCGTAGATCACGGATACGTTGAACTCAAATATTGGATTTTTAAGCATTATGTCGATAAAGTAGACATTCATGTACTAGGTGACTAAATGATGAGAACAATCATCACAAAACATACAATGAATATTTAAGAAATGAATTCTTAAAATGAACATACAAATGTGTAATTCTCAGTAGTAAAATAAAATATACTCTTCGCAAATTCTTACTGCGTGATAAGTAAACCGGCATTTGTGTAATTTGAGTAAGATGCTGTCAAACAAACGTATCCTGTGTATTTACGCTATTATGCGTATTTACGCTATTATGCGTATTTACGCTTTATTGTTTACCCCGCCCCTCGCGCACTATTCTACTCGCGCGTGGAGACCACGCACCTCTTCGGGAAAATCCGACAGTTTCCGACATCCCGCGTGGGGTCCACGCGTTGCGTGTTTTCCTCGCTGGATGGGGGGGGCTACCTACTAATGTTCTTATTTATCAAAAACGCACTGCTTCCAACAAAAATGTCACTGTGTGTATAGGGCCGAGGTGTAAATCGGTACGGTTGACCGAGCTCTGCTTCATAAACTTTATATTTCGGAGTCATTATACTTTATTAAACATTTTCGAATTTCAGAATGTTTATTAGCTCATGAAAGCAGAGCTGAAAAGAGCATCGTAAATTTATGGATTAATTTTAGCCGGTACGCGTCTTCAGCTTTTTGATTTATAAATTTAATGAATTATGTTTGAATGGTTTGAACATGTAGGTTTTGAAACCAAACAATTGCAACAGTTGATTTAAAGATCATGCATGTTATTCTTCTATATCGTGATATATACAGTAGATATGTGAAATGTGACATGGAATGAAACATTGGTGTTGTTTGAAACGACAAGTGTAGAGAGAAGAACGGAAAAATTATTTTCAGGCAATGTGAATGAAAAATAGACATACTTTTTGCAAAGCTGCTTTTATTTTTAGAAACCGAGAGCGATTGGTACATCTCTTGATTTTGATTACATCGCGATTGGTATGCCTTCAGCTTCATCCGTGCGGTCTCTCCCCCTGTTTTCATGCAAAACGTTTTTTAGCTGTTGAATATGTGGTATGTTCTGACACTTTAAACTTTCCAAAAATTGACGAAAATTACGATTTTCCTTTGATCGCTTATAACAATTCACCATGCAAAACTATAAGAATATTACCTCTTTCTTGTCAGTTTAACATTACGAGTCTTGCAAGGCACACTTCTGTCGGTTTCACACGGCTTCGGAGGTTTCTGTCCCCTTTTGAAATGGCCTCCAGAGGTAGTCACGAAACTTTATCAGATCGCTCGTGAGTGGAAAGACATGAGACTTGTTCGTTCTTTACAGGTCGAGATTGTCATGGGCTGGTGACGTTATTCTCTTGCCCCATTCTGTTTCATGGAGCTCCAAAGCAAGGATGGTTGGATCTGCCTGGGCGACCGCAGAATTTAATCACGAGCCATGATTTTAATTATGCTTTGCAGCTATTTGCTGCATTCACCAGCCCCGCCTACAGCTAAGAGTAGCTTGCGAATTGCATACCCTTGGCAGTTGGTCTTTCTTCCACACCGACCAGCTCGTCCGATCGCAAGTACCGTTGCAGCATGCCTCGCGAGTTCATAAACAAGGAAAAAGCCATTGCACCCCGTGCACAGTCAGTACAGTTTCGCGTCAGTTCCTGCTGCTGGCCTCCGATCAACGTAAAAGTATAAAGGAAATTTGAGGATATAACTTATGTGTCAAATTTTCCAAGCAATTGTACGGGCGAATGTGATCCAAAAGCGTGCAGCTTTAGTCTTGTCGGTCCCAACGTAATATGCTTCGATTTATGTAGTCTTTCAAAGTCTTGGCCTCTTGGGAAGATAGAATCTTCACAGAAGCGCCTGCATCAATCAGCACTTTGACACGATCTTTGCCGCCGATTGGTACAGCTGACACAGGAAGTTTTCTTGTCATGAATGTTTACACTAGGTATCTCGCTCAAATTTTTCGTCAATTTCGCTGCGTTCCCATGCAGTAAATGCATTTTCACTATCGTTATCACTGTCTGCTTCAAGTGGTGTGTCCATTCTTAAGTCAAGGTGCACGACACTCACTTTGTTATCCTTTGATTTTACATCGCCATCAGTTTGTTTTCGGTTTGCTTGATCAAATCCTCGCGACCTACAGACTCGTGTATATTTTACTGCAAAATGGCCTGATTTTCCACAATTACGACATTTTTTGTCCATTGCAAGGCATGATTTTCGACCTTGCTTATGTGGGAAGCTTTCACCACAGAAATAACATGATTGTTTAGATGCTTGATTACCAGCATTTACACGGCTGCGATTATGGTCATTGCAACTTTTTCTTCTACAGTCTCAGGCAACGTTTCAATTATTTCGTCCACTTCAGATAACATAAATAAATAAGCGCGTGTGAACATAAACATAAATAAGCGCGCGTGAGTTCACTTGCGCCTGCAAATGGCGAATGAAATGAGATGTTGCTTTGCCATTAATTAGTTGCTTGGCAACTACTGTGGTTGCCCAGCAACTTATAATTGCATGAAAATTTTATTAAAATGAGTAAAATAAACGCTGTAAATCATCGCAATTCTGCAAATTACATTAATTAATGGAATACCTAGAAGTTCCTTCTTACTTTTCCGTGGTCTTTCTTTGAACTTTCTTGCAGTTTTTTGTTCATAATTTCCTCTTCGATCAAGATTCTCTTCGCGTTATCGATCAACGAAAAGACGTAGTTTTGTATATCTAGAAATTCTAGAAGCGCTGGCTGGTACTTTCTTATAGAGTATATGTCCAACCGATATTGACCCGGTGACACAGTCTTTCCACTTTTATTACTAGCCATTTCAAAAGGATTTTAACTCGTTAAAAGTAATGTTTTCACTCGCGCAGTCAGTCAATTATGACAGTGATTATGACGAAGCTAATTATTGCGTCAAACATTATTGCGTCAAACTAATTAGCACACTGACCGTAATGAGATATAAAAAAGGCATTTTATTCTTTTTCGACTATTAAAATCGACATTGCTAAACTGCATTTGCTAAGGTCCAATTTGAAATCAATTTTGTTCAAAGAACTAACTGATCAGATTTGAATTTTCGCATCGATCTGGTGGGATATGTATGACACATAGAAAATTACCCTAATGTTGAAGCAAAACTAGTCCAAAATTATAATGCAATGCAGGATCATGTTGTTATCCTTTAAGATCTTTATACTATGATCCTGTAACACCTTACCATGATCCAAGAGTGTCTTATTATATCTTAATATGATCCTATAAGATCTTGTCATGATGTTAAAGATCTTAAGAAGACCTATCCTTTAAGATTTTACCAAATATACCCTTACACTAATCCATAACCCTTCCTGTATTTTTACTCACATTTCACATGCTTTAACACTTACATGGTTCTGTTGCGACAGCAAATAACGTATGCGAGGAAGGAAGGCTTTCTCAGCCTCAGACGTTTTTCATGAACAATCTACAACCTTCCTTCGATTTTTTATATATGCATATTGTCAACCACTTCTCTTTGAAAAGTCTAAACAATAAAGAAAGCTGGCAGGAAATAATATCAATATCTTCCAAAATATCAATATTTTCCAATTCAAACAATCCTTTGAATGAAGACTGTATTGCAAGGAAAGACCCGGAGAACTGGGGTGCTGAACGAAATAACAAACATATCTTACCATTTTTAACTTTAACTAAAAATCTGGGCAAATCTAAACCTTTGAAACAAGCAGAAGATGCTCCATTGATGCCTCCATCTTGAATTCTAGCGACAGAATAAAATCACAATATAAAAATTAGATAAAAATATCAATGAACTAAATTAAAAAATGGTAATTATATAAACAAATTTCTATGACTGAATTAAGCAATAACGCAAAAGTAAGGAAGACTGTCAACATGAAAGGTGTAAGTACATGAATGTAATGATAGATAATAGGTGATTTTGTGAAAAAAATGAATCTGTTGTGAAAAATGCATGTTTTACAAACCTGAGTATAAAAGTAATAAAACCAATATCTCTAAACTTTTTACGGCGATTCAAACAAAACAATGTTTTCGAAAAAAAAATTGAAAAGCGTTTAACAAATTAATTTTTTCCTTGTAAACACTTGTAGGCCCATTTTTTACTTCTTTTGTACTTTCAGGTACAGTATTTTCGTTAAAATAACGCTTTTCTTCATTTGTCCCTTCAGTGAGAAAAACAACTTGCGGCCATTTTAAAAAACCTTATGGTGAGTAATAACTAATAACCATTAGATATATGCATATGAATTTTTTTGTTTTTGCTGATTGTTTTGTGAATTTTGTGTCTCACGCGCTGCGTGATATTCCGCGTGATGACTTCCGGTGAGTTGGCAAGTCACAAGTGTCATGAGAGAATTTAATTTGTAAAACGCCGTTTTTAGGACGAAAAATTGCTTTTTTTAAAAATTCGTGCTACCTATATGGCTATTTCTGGAATAAATTCTTAAAGGGTATCGGTATATGTATCCTTCCTTAATTGTGGAAAGGCAATTGAGCATATTTATGGCTCAAAATTGATTTTTGAAAATCAAAAAAGCTGGTCCAATTGATGCCGAAAGATATTTACATTGGCACTAGGGAAATATATATGTACTCTGGCTGAATTCTTTGCAATGAAATCCCATATTTACACGTAAATATTATTTATCCGTATTTTTCACGTTTCTAACCGTCTTTTAAATCTGTTTTTTTTAAATAATATCAAGGCATAGAGTGTCTTATTGCTAATTTTTTAACCTGGAACTGAAACCATATAATATGGCCATGTCTTTATTTTTTGTCTTCAGAGTTACGCTAAAAAGACCCGTGTGTGGTAATAATAGTCGCGCATAAGCATCAATTTGTAATCTTTGTGTGAAAAATAGTCCAAGACAAAGGTGATGAAGTTGTTTTTTTATAGCCAAACGCCTAAAATCGCTAAATACGCTGAATTGCTTGCCTTATTTACATGACATTTTGTTGTTGTTCATTTCAAGTACACAAAGTCCTTTGTAAGCTCTTTATATTATTTCGTTTTCACATTTCTATTAATCCTAGCTAGATATTTGCTAATTTATTTCGTTTTATCTCCTGGAAATATATTCTATCTAAAGCATGTATTACATGTTTTCTAAACTCAAAAATAGCTCAGCCAGTGCTAAACTATTGCACAGCTTTCCTCCTCAGCTATATTTTTTCCTGTTTTTGCCAGCATCAAATAATCTCATAAACTAGTTTTTAGCTCAGAAGATCCACTTCATCCATCTTTCTAAAAATTTTAAGTCAAATGAGACATCGCCCTAAAGGTTTTGTTTAAATCAGCATTTGTTTGTCAAAAATTCGATTTTTCTATCGATTTGTCTTTTGCTTTGTGGCCATCCATTATTCCATTGGAGTCTACTTAAACTTAAAACTAGGACTATAGTTTGCTCCTTTGATGGACAGGTAACTGAATGCAAGTGAAATAACTCATGCCACTAAGAACATTGAACAAACATAATCGCATTCCATTATCTGACGAACCCTCAGAAAAGAATGTTAGTCCTGATCTTATTATGTTAAGGTTATGGCAAACATAAAGGGACAAACATCATTTGCTCATGACTGAAGCAGTGAATTTGAGATCCTCTATATTATAATAGCAAATGCCACGCAAAAAATTGCAGGTTAGTTTGATTGTTATCCATTTTCCATTCCTGTGGAAAGTGCTTGTGCTATATGTAGGGTAAAATGCATCATTAATGCACCTATTGTGTTAAAATAATAGCAAACATCACGGTCAAGAGGACAAACATCACTTGGTCATGAATGAAGCAATGAATTAGTGAAGATCTTCTCTTTTAAATGCTATTGAGCATATCAAAGTGCAAAGTGATGCTACAAAATGAGTCATTTTCATTCAATGTAAGGAGTGTGTCTTCCTCCCAATCTCATTCAGGACACATGAATTTGATAAGAACTTCATAGACATGGCCCGAGTAAGGACTATAAGGTGATTGAGATATCATGCCACATTATAATCATGATTAAAATCAGCCGTTTTAAACGCGAAACTTTTTTTTCAATGCTTATTAGTAGTAATTCATAATTTCTCGTATGCATGTTAATATAAGTATAGTGTAAATGTTGTATATGTGTCTAAAAGCCCGAGTGGAAGATTAGCACAGGCTAAACTGGGGTGTATAATTATGTACTTCACTTCCCGTCTTCATATAGAATTTTTTACACATGCCACCAGATTGATGCGAAAATTGAAGTCGGATTTAGTTCTTTGTGGAAAATTGATTTCAGATTAGATGTTAGCAAATGCAGTTTAGCAATGTCGATGCAATAAATAAAATGCCTTTTATATGTGATTACGATCAGTGCGCTAATTGCGCTACCGAATATTGTTACCGAATATTGCGGACGCGATGGCGCGAAAATATTTGACGCAATAATTAGCTTCGTCATAACACAGAGTACTACACAGAGGTGGAACTCGCGACAAATCTTGTCCCCCTGTTTTTAATGCGCATGCGCTAGGCTCTGGCAAGTGTTTATGCACTTTTTAATAAGGAAAATTCGATTTTTTAGCAGAAAAAATGCAATTTTAAAGCCAAGGGTCTTTTGCTCTTCGTTTTTTTGACAAATTTTATTTATCCATCCGACATTGCTCCTTTTGGATTAAAAATGACTGCAATAATACGAATTAAAACGGGGAAAAACGGGAAATACAACTACGAGGAGTGCGATTTTCACACGAAGCTTCTAGAACTGCCAGGTAAATATTCAAAGTTTGGTATTTCATCTAATAAATGTAGGTCTATCTGACTATATTTCGCCAACATGCAGTCATATTTTTTTCTAGATGGCGAAACAATCTTCTCAAAGTCAGTTAACTTTTGAGCAGACGACATATCCAAACATTGACTTCTACTGTTCAACAAGATAGCAAGTTAGATGGCTATTAAAAAAGTTTTACAACGCATACAGTACGTAGTTTACTGATATTTGTGAACCCTATTATGTCTCCTATGTGTATTATATTCTCATCCAAAACTGGAAAATAGCTTTCAATCTTCTCATAGAAGCCATACAGCATTGCATAGATTAGATTGGAAATTAATTTGCATGTCCTTCATGAATATTACAATCAAGTATGAACTGAAATTAATATTTGTTAGCATTTACCATTTGTGTGTGAAGTTGGATTTATACTCATGTTGAAAGTATTGTATATAATAGGTAAAAGTTGCATTTGTTTATTGTAAATCCTTTGGCTTTGAATTCAAGTTCAAGATTCGAATAAAAAACATGTAGTTTTTGCTAGTTTTAAGGCAAAATAAATTATTTTCAAAGAAATTTTTTCGTGTGTTTGAATTTTAGAAATAACACATCGATCATGCTTTTTTAAGATCAGCTCAGATGTTTTCTGGATGGAAAAATAACTGCCTAATTCATAATCGGCGATGATGTTAGCAATCAACTTGATATTTATAAAGAAAATCATTCAAGCTTGTATTTCTTACTTCTTTAACCTAACGCATATATTTTTTACAAAAAAACAACCATTTACCGTTTGTTTTTAAAATTTAGGCGCAAAAATGGAGATCGATAGAGCCAGCTTTAAAATATTAACATTTTCGTCTTTCGAACACCTTTTTCCCTTACTTTAGAGTTAAAATACACTTGCCAGAGCAATTTGCGTGGCGCGTGGAATGGCGTGGGCAGGGGGACAGCAACATCAAAGGGTTCCGCCGCGAGTTCCATAACTGTATATCATTAAACTGTGGTCATAATCACTGTCATAATTGTCTGACTGCGCGAGTGAAAACATTACTTTCAACGAGTGAAAATTCTTTTAAAATGGCTAGCAATGAAAGTCGAAAAACTGTGTCACCGGGTCAATATCGGTTGGATATTTACTCTGGAAGAAAGTACCAGCCAGCGCTTCTAGAATTTCTAGATATACAAAACTACGTCTTTTCGTTGATTGATAACGCGAAGAGAATCTTGATCGAAGAGGAAATTATGAACAAAAACAAACTCCAAGAAAGTTCAAAGAAAGACCACGGAAAAGGTAAGAAGGAATTTCTTTATATTCTAATGATGAAGTTGTCGATTTGCGATTATTTGTCTCGTATATTCAATTGGGTACGGAATTGATCGCGTGCAGAAGAGAATTTTTCGCTGCGTTGTTCGGTCAAGAAAAGAGCGTTCCATCCGCACAATGAGTACTGCATTTGCACGAGGTTGCAGTTAAGTATCTATGTGTGCAACTATATGCACTTTATTTGCCATTTCTGCTGATTTTGTGAGTAAAATTTTGCTATATTCTATATTCTGTAG